AACATTGCCCACGCCACACTGCCACAAACCCGTTTATAGGGTGGGCCACATTCACACATCATACACACAACAGAGGACAGCACAAAGAGAGAGAGAGAAACATCCATGTCCAGAGCGGGATTCGAACCCGCAGCCTATGGCTTCGCAGTCAGGCTCGCTAACCGCTCGGCCACCTGGCCGGCCTCAAAAGCAAATAATTAAGTAATTATTGATACATAACAATTAAAAAACTGTTTAATCAAACAAGAATTGTAATCGTCTTGTTAGCTGTCCAAGTCTGTTTATAACTTTTTCAATGAATTCTGAGTCATCTTTGATTCTTTTCTTATGCACACTGAGCATGCATAAACTACTCAATCTCTCGTGAGACATTGTAGACCGATTCCATGTTTTGATGCGTCGCATTGTACTAAAAGTGCGTTCAATAGTGCACGTAGTAGCTGGAAGAGTTAGACCAATTTTGATTGCCTCCCCGCTACAACTGGATAAAACGGTGTGGCCTGAATAACTAAATCGATGTATTCGTAAGAATTCGTGGGATTCATAAGAATTTTCTCTATTAAAACGGACGAAAAAATTAACGAATGAAAGTATATGTAATAACAAAACAAAATGAAATAACAGAATATTTAAAAAAAAAATTTGGTTNGGGGGGGGGGGGGGGTAGTTTGTTCGAGGGTTGCACCCCCTTTTATATTATTCTGCCGGCGCCCTTGTTATCATCAAAATATTGAGGGTATAGCTGCAATCTAGAAAATATGGTTCTCAGAGTTCATCAGGAGAGCGGTCTTAAGTTTGGATCCTTTAATGTTAATTTTACTTTTTGCGTATTTCGCCATATCTTAAGAACTTTTCAAGCGAATTAAAAAAAATTTGCCCGAGACTTTAAAATTCGTTTATCCAAAAATAATTAATTCTATGTAAAAAAATAACTTTAAGTAAATATTTATCAATATTAATTATTTTTATTTAATATTAGTTAAAAAAAATTTTGAATTGTAAGGTATATACTTTTTTACATCATTCTAAAGAATGTAATTTTACATGGCAAAATAAAAAATTTGAGCGAAATCTGTGGATTAGTTTATAAGAAATCGAATTTTAAAATTAAGACTTTTTATTAATTGTACGACTTTTTTAAAAATACGAAGTTATTCTAGGCGGTCCGTTATTTTTTGCATTTTATTCATTTATTTTTGAGCACGTACAAAACCTGTTTATCCAAAGATATTTTATGCAACAAATATTCATGATATAAATATTTTACACCTAATTTAATAATTATCGGGAAGATTTCAAATTGTAGCTACATATGCTTTTCATGATTCAACATCATGTAATTTTAAAAGACGAAATCCAAAATTTGTAAAGCATCTTTCGAGCAGTTTTCAATTTATATATTGAGAAAGAAAAGGTTCAGATTCCATCGAGGGGAAAAAAAAAAGAAATATATATATTTAGAGAAAATAAGTTTTTGTTTCTGATGTTGTATCTTAACATGATGTCTGCACTAATTAAATAGCATATTTAAGGTCTTTATCTCTAATTTTAAGGTCTCTTATCAATTACAAGATAAGAAGTTATAAAAAGGTGCTCAGTTTTTATATTGTGCATAATAGAAGTGACAAGCATTATCTATCTAACGTGTTATAGTGCATCTAAGTTAGAAAAAATTATAAGCATTCACCTCATAAGGGCAAAATATGTGAACAAACTTCGACTTTTGAGCAGTAGATTTTCATTTTCTGAAATATCAACAGATATGAGAAAAGCCAAACTTTCTGTTTTAAAGCTTAAAAACTACATTTTTTAAAATTTCAAAATTGTTGCAACATATATAGATACACACTACTCTACAATAATGGAAAGAAAAAAAACATTTACAGAAACATTTTTGTTTTAAATTTCTTAAGAAATACGCAGAGGATTATTTTGCAACTTAAGACTCGTTTAGCTCATACGATTACTCGATTTTTCTTACTTTGCAATAAGGTTTAAAGCTTTTCAGAAATTTAAAGGGCCTGCAATAAATTAAGAAAAATAAAACTAGTGTTTTTAAAGACACTATGCAAGAAAATCAGGCAATAAGGCGAATCAGGAGATTACTTTAATTGTTATTTGCAACAACTGCGTAAAATTTCGAAATTATGGATTAAATAATTTTAGAAATGCGAACAACTTCATAAATTTTTAGACTTACGTTTTTCTTCTTTTTTTTTTTTTGCTATAACTTTAAAAATTCTCAGTAAAATGAAACAAAATTTCCGGTGAATCAATTTAAAATTAAATACAAAAATTTTGTTTTAAAATTTGAAAAAAGTTCGCTTAAAACTACGCAAGATAGGAGAGCACGAAAAACATTAAAAAAAAATTTTTCCCTATAATTTTGTAGTGAATCTTATTTGGCAATTAATGAAAAGTCTTATTTGAATATCGTAAAAACGTAAAAAGTTTCGAGCAATTTTCCATGCTGTTTTTTATATTTTTTAAAAATAAAGCTCAAAAGGATCAGGGGTTTTCCACAAATTATATATATATATATTTTTCAATTTTTTTATATATATATTTATATAATATATTTATATAATATATTTATATAAATATATATATATTTATATAAACACACATATATACATATATAATATTTATATATAGAATATAGAGAAATATATATATATGTATTTATATAAAAACATAATATACTACACACAGGAGTTGGACAAAATAATGAGAAGACTTCTATACTAATACATTTGTTGATCTTTCTCAAGGAACACTAAGAGAATCAATTTATAACTTCAGAAATGTTTAGATCAGGCAAGTTCATATACACATCAATGAAGTTTAAAGCTTTTAGAGGTTTGAGGGAATGACAGTCAATTACAAACGGCAAATAATATTTTTGGTCACCTTATGCCAAAAACTGTAGCAATAGATTTGTTATTTGTGCAGTTATTTTGGTTATTATATGTAACAATTGCACAAAATTTCGTAATCTCAGCTAAAATATTTACGGAGATATGATATGAACATTTTTATAACAACAATTATTTCGTCTTGCGTTTTTTTTTTCTTTTTCTGCTATAATTTAAAAAAATCTTAATAAAATTAAACAAAATAATTGGAGCAATTTAAAATTAATTACAAAATTATTGCTTTAAAATGTGAGGAAAATTCTTTGAAAACTGCACAATATAAGCAATTAAAGTAGTTCTTCAATAATGTACATGGGTGGGGAAAAATAAATATTTTTTTTCATGATTTTGCAGTTAATCGTATCTGACAATTAATTAAAAAAGTTCGATTTTAATATCTTAAAAATTTATAAAATTTCAATGTTAAACTCCGCAGCCTTGTAATTTTAAACCCAATCTAGAAGACAATGGAACTCCTGGATGTATTAGGTGAAATTTGCTTTCAGGGATGACTTTTTGATAGAACTAACCCGCATCCGAGTCGTGTGGTGAGAAAAACCATGTGAACCTCTCAGTGTTGGATTGTCGGCAAGGGTATTCTGACTCATAATTCGTCTACCACTGAGAATATTTTTCGTCAGAGCCAGGAGTGGGATTTGTATCGACCAGCCATTGCAGGGATTTGAACACAAATCACTTCATTGGGAGGTGAGCGCTCTATCCCCTCAGCCACTATGACTAATTAAAAATTCTAATATTTTTTCCCCTAAATATCAAATTAAACATCAGAGTTTGCAATTTATGCATAGCCAGGATGTAGTTTAAAGTTTCAATACAAAAATATGTTTTAAATGCGGTGATCCCAATATTTTGAGAATAGTTTAATCAAGCCAGCTTATTTTTAAAAAATTGAATCTTTACACAACTATCCTTATATTGTGAAACTTTCAATAAATAGGATACAAGTATTTTTAGCAATTAAAGTATTTTTTAGCAATTAAAAATTTAATATAAGGTTTAAAAATGAAGAAGTTTTAACTACTGGGAAACTAACTGCTTAAAACTAATATTAATAAATATTGTTTCAAAAAGTCAAGAAATAATCAATGAACACTTCATGATACAAATAACTTCAGATATTTTTTAGGAGCAACCTGGTAAACCACCTTAGTCTTTTTATTTAAAAACAGTAAACATGGAGTTCTTTTTTTTATGATGGAACTAACCATTTTGAAATACAACTCAAAATTTTAATTTTCACCATATAATTGTTAAAGATGCTCTAGAAAAAGGCCCACAAAATATACTCATATTCAAGAATTTCTCTTATCATACAATAGGTATTTTTCATCATAGTTAATGTTTCATTATCATTAATATTTGTTTTTTAGAAAAAAATATGAAACGAAGTACCTCATTAAAATTATCTAAAAATACAAATTTGGTAACATAAGAAAAATTTGAGAAACTGTAAGGAAAAAAAAAATACATAAAAAATTGAAGAATAATTTAAAAAGTAGTGAATAAAAAAAAATCTTTAAAAAAATATGCTTATTTGAATTGTTAACCTCTTGAACTAAATATATGTGGTTTCTCATTAAGCCAAAAATTCATCATGATAGCTGTAATCCTTGGCTTTAAGTTTTTCTATGGGGAGGGTGGGGGGCACATTAAAAACCATTTAAATAGTCCTTTAATAGGTATCATATTTGAATTCAGTGGCTCAAAATCAATAAATAAAAGTTCTGACGCGTGTAATATAACAAGATTGTTATATTACATGCGTCAATAAACATTTCTAAGCAGTTACATAGTTTATAAAATTTACATGTATATAGTATAAAATTCACTAAAGTATAAAAAGGCCTAACAAGTGTTGCTATAAATTAATCCAACTTCCGAGTTTATGTTCTTAAATACATTCAGTGACGCATACAGCAAAAGCACTGAAAATTAACAGTTAAAATCTATTTTTTGCAGATCTTCTTAGCAACTGGCACAAGGAGCATGCAAAAAAAAAGGAGCATTTTTTTCAAAGAAAAAATATATTCACAATAAAGTTTTCAAAATACTTTATGTACTTACATTGTTAATAGATTGAGGATAGTTGTTTTGATGATTTGGATACGGAGAAGAGCCAGAATGGGAATATGGAGTTGGGCCAGTTGGATAAGGAGAATTAGTTGCTGCATTTGATGAGCCAGTAGGTGGATATGGTGAGCCAGTAGGTGGATATGGTGAGCCAGTAGGTGGATATGGGGAGCCAGTAGGTGGATATGGGGAGCCAGTAGGTGGATATGGGGAGCCAGTGGGTGGATATGGGGAGCCAGTGGATGGATAAGGAGATCCAGAGGGAGGATAAGGAGATCCAGAGGGAGGATAAGAAGATCCAGATGAAGGATAAGGGGATCCGGTTGGAGGATAAGGAGATCCAGATGGAGGATAAGGAGACCCAGATGGAGGATGAGAACCAGGTGCAGGATTAGATGAAGGATAAGGATATGCAGCTCCTGGTGGTCTATTAGAAGGATTGGTAACAGGATCCATAGGCAAGTGAGGGTAAGCAGGATTCATAGTAGGAGCAGTGGGATTTATAGCACCTGGATATCCTCTAGGTATGCCAGGAGGAGGATTAAAATCAGGAGTGAAAGGATTCCAATTACTCATGATCTCCTAAAATAAAACATATATTCAGAGTAATAAATACATGTATTTGATGAATAGTTTAATAGTAAAAGGTACAAAATTTCCACTTTGAATAACAAATCTTATGTAAGTGTAGAATTTTTGTTTTTCTTTTTTGAGATTTATAGATTGATGACAAGTGAACATTTTATTATTGAGCATAGAAAGAGTTGTGATTTGCTTATTTTTTCTGAAAAAGAGAATGGGGTCTAGAATCAGACAAATATGTGAAAATATGTAGTTTGTGAATTACCACCTAAAAATAATTATTTTAAAACATTTATCAAATGAACAAGACAAAAAAAAAAAGATTTTTTTTCTTCATGAAAGGGCTTAACTATTTAGAGTAAAAATGACAAAATTACATATTACGTTTGAACTGATAAATTACTTAAAACAAAATAATTAATTGTGATGATATTTTCAAGAATGTGCATTTATGAAACTTGATTCTTTTATCACAAGCTCAATTTTTAGTTTGCAGTTGAAATAGTTTAGCTCTTGATTTATATAGTAGACTGCTATTTAATCAAAACCAGTAAACTAAAAGTATGCCAGAAAATTAATATCTATTTATCATAGCACTACCTCAACATAAAACTAAATTAACAAACTAATATTAACCAAAGCCATAATTAAATCACTACTATCATATCATAGAGAAAAGTCAGAGTAATATTGAGAGTCAGTAAACCAACATTTAACATATTGTAAGCGGAAGGAGAAAAAATATTTAAAACATAACCATAGAGGTAGGAAATAATTATTATAAAAAAACTTGAACTTGCTTAAATTCCTTGCCAATGCCTTATATTTAATCAGATATATGAACATAGTTATTGTCTCTAGGGCAATGAAAATAAAATATGTAAATGTTTAAATTATTTCTGTAAACTTAGAGCTAATGATAGTCAAAGGTAACTGAATCATCAAAGTTTTATAAGGATGTTAATGTTTACTACAATAATGAGATATGATACATGAGTTATAAGATATAATTAATAACTAATAGACTAACTAATGTCAGGCATGATATACCTGATTTGTAAATCGCACCTGATTAGCATTTACTGCACTAATCAGGTAAGATATATGGATCAGGCATGAATGTTTTTTAATTTTGGGGTGTGATTCTATGTGAACAGGACGGAATACGATAATACAACATTATAATAATAATAACAATAATAATAATAACTTATGTTAAGGGCTGATCTTTCTTTTTCTATATTTAACTGATTAAACTGATTAACTGTTTGCTGGTTTTTTATGTCATAGGTGTCAGATCCAGCTAGCAGTCCTATAAGTCAGAANAATAATAATAATAACAATAATAATAATAACAATAATAATAATATCAAACATTAATATATACAGTGCACTCTCACTTATGCACCGGTGTAAGGGGCCAAGACAAAAAAGTGCATAAGTGAAAAACTTCAAAATTCTAAAATGCAACGTAAATTGCAGTGACAATATGAATAAATATGTTTCTAAAGATTAAATGTTAATATTTATACTGTTTTAGTATTTACTATAATTATACAAAGAAAAAATTTAACATACCTTAACACAATTTATTTTCTAACAAAATAATCTTTTAATTCAAAACATTTAAAAAAAAAAAAAAAATTATTTAAAGGATTAAAAAAATAAAATGTTAGCCTAAAATTTCGGCGCATAATTGAAAAATTTATTTTTAGAGCAACGCATAAACAAAGAATGTTTATCATTATTTTCCCATCTAATGTACTGGGACTAATAAAAATCGTCGAATAAATGAAAAAGGTGCATAAAAGAGGTGGTGCATAAGTAAGAGGTCACTGTATACAGAAGAAGATCTCTGTAACACAAACCTTGAAACCTGAGATTTCGTACTTTACAAAATTTTGTGTAATATGGATCATTTCACTAATCTTAGAATTTTCCAACTAAGTATGGTAATATTAGTCTAGAATAGATCAATTTTAAGATGTTTTAAAAAAAGTTTTGGATACGAATACTAAAAACAAAATAAAAGTTACTATTTACAGATATTTTTTGCAGCATTAGAACTATTAACAAGCAAATTAATCAATTTTAGTTTGCTTAGCCTTTGAAATTTTAACCTCTTAGCAAATAATTAAACAAATAATGTAAAAAGTTAATAGTCCTTGCCTAGTCAAAGAAATTTTTTAATTACAAATTTCATTGTTTACACTCAAAAAGTAAGTGTGGTTTATGGGAAATTGAGGTTCATAGAATTGCATTATACTTATAGAACTTCTACTGTATTAGGTTTCATGTAATACAATATCAAACTTAATTTTTGATGTTTTAAAATTGTATAAAAATAGACTCACTATTTATACTCATTTAAGGACTGTGAGAGAGTGGAATAATCTGAAATTCATAATTTTATGAAATTTCCCTAAGCAAAGTTTTCAAATTCAATTAATAAAACAGATTCCATCAAAAACACAAAACATAATTCAGTTCAATTAAAAAGAAACAACGAATTTATTGTTTAGTTCTCATATGGTGACTTTCAGTCATCTACTACTGCAAGAAAAATGTATGAAAGCATTATGTTTTAAAATAATTGGAAGACTACATTTAAAGTTGTAAAACTATATTAATCAAATTTTCTTTTAAAAAAAAGTTTTAGTTTTGAAAAACATTCTATAAATTGTATAATAAATATTTCCCCATTGTTCTTGATTGTTTCATCATTCATTATTCTTGATTTTTTTAAATAAAAAAATTTAGTTTTAAAAAACTTTTTTTAAAAGTTATGATAAATATTTCCGAACATGTCATAGATCTTGACTTTAAAATAAAAAGTGTTAGTTTAAAAAAAAAAGCTTTTTATCAATTTTCAGCTCAAATATTTCCATCACTGTTATTAATTTCTAAAATAAAAAGAGTTCGTTTAGAAAAAGTTTCGATAAATTTTATAACAAATATTTATTCACCTATCAGTGATAGCTAACATGATGATTGTCATTGATATTGCTAAACGTAGAACATGATACTTATTATAACAAGATCACATATGTTATCTGATAGAAATATAACTACATAAGAACTTTACCTACATTCGAAATAAATATCCCATATAATAAAATTAAAAAAAATTCTAATATTTCAACAATGTGTACGTAGAGAATAAGAGCAAAATAAAAATTTCAGTTTCGCAGTAAATGAATAATACTAATCTAATTTGTAAAATGCAAATCGATTATACTCACAGAAAAAGCAGCAAATAAAAAGAATCACATGAAACAAAATGTAGGAGTCATAAATTTTCTTCTTAATAGGAATCTATAATTTTACTGCTTAATGACTCAGTCTTGTTATTACATTCAAAATTGCAACCAAATAATAAAAATGCATACTATTTTTAGAGAACAGCCCAGACAAGTTTGTTTGAAAAGGACAATGATACAGCTGATTCTAAAGCGTTTAAACCGATTAAGCTTTTGTAGCCTATTACTTGTAATTTACGAACTTGTTTCAACTCATCGGTTCAGAACACAACTAATGGTTTTATTTTTTTGATAAAACTCACATAAAATGGAGGAAGTTGTCTGCTTCCTCGAAGTATGAATTTGAGTTTGCGCTTTGATCAAACTTACTATAATTCAAGGCAACTTTTTAGTCATACATAAAATACAACAGTAACTGATATTTTTAATAATCTTTTGCAATATATAGCATTTTTCTTCAATTTATTAATTAGATATTCTTTTCAAAAGTCAAAACATCTGTAAACATTTGTCTTTTTATTCAACAATAACTTCAACTTCTTCCTTAAAAAGCAGACGATATTTCATGTTGCATTGTGGAACAAATTTTGAATTCAACCTTTTTAAAGAATTTAAGATTTAAATGATTACTCTAAAACATTTTTAAACGGACATCGTCAAATGGTTTTTAACTAGTTAGTTAAATTATTTTTGCTCTTTTTTTGACAGTTTCTTTAACATTTTGAGTGCATAAAGTGAAAATGGAAGAAAAGTCAATGGATCTAAATTCGAATGTTGCAAATATTCAGCTTTCTCCGCCTAAAGATATAAGGGACATTATTTTGAAGTTTGATGAAAGTGGCGTTAGTGGTGAGCCTTTTTCATTTAATAATTTTGTTGAAGATAAAACTAATGTTGAAAACAGAATTATGGATGTCAAGCAGACAAGGTTTCCATTAGAAGAAAACGAAAGAAAAAGTCACGATGAGAAAGATGATTTAAGTTTGATTGATTTATCAGAAATTGATTTTGAAATTTCAAAAGATATGTTTGATGATATAAAAATAAAGGAAGAAGATATAATTGGATTTGATGAAAAGGTTTCAAGTCAATTATCAAATGGAAGAGAAAAGAATATCAATTTTAAATTGCCTTTTTTTACTGAAAATGTTGACGATAACGGAGTAACTTCTGTGGATTGTGAGATAAAAAATGATGCTAAGGAGACTTTGAAAACGAACTTAGTTAACGAAAATCATCAGATGGAAATGGGTCTTGAAGACAGTTTAGAAATTCCTTTATGTGAAGAAAAGGAAATATATTCGAGCTCAAATAATGAAGTAAAAAGAATAATGACAGAATTGCAAGTAAACCATGATAGTAATGAAAATTTGAGAAGCAAAGATAATAATTGTGCTCCAAGTGTTTCTGAAAATTTTAACAAGCTAATTGTTGGAAACATAACAGATGAAGAAAAATTGAAGAATTCAATTTTAACGAAAGAAAATGTATCTACATTAGCTGTGATTGGAAGCGATATAGATATGATTTTAGATAGTAAAGTTCATTTAAATTCACAAGAGAATATTTTATTGCATACTCAATCTTATAAAAATATAAATGATACCATTGAATCCATCATTCAAGAGTCACTTCAACAAGATCTCGATTCAAAGGATTCCTCTAATCAAGAAGAAATAAATGGAAAACAAGAGGAAAAGAAAACTCCATATGGTATTTTTGAAGTCGTGGTACCTTTAATAGGCAAAAATGTTATGGAAACTGGAAATGATGTCCCTTTTACCCAAAGATATGATTTAGCTAGGAAACAAAATGAAATGAGAGCAAAATTTCAGAAAAATGATCCTGATTTTTCTATTCCAAATATGAGCTTTGAAGAGTGGCGTAAGAGGAGACAATCAAGAACCAAGGAAGAAATTGCAGCTGAAGAAAGAAAAAAAGTTGCCAATGCAATACAATTGGCTAGATCTTTTACAAAAATTGCAATCAGTATTTTATTAGAGTATGAAAAGGATGAGCCAAATCAGGCAGCAATGACAAAATTTTTCAGATATTTTGAATTTGCACCAGCCTCTCCATTATCCTTACTATATGCACCACATTTTGTGCATACAATGATGCTTTGTCGAGGAGATGATGATTTATCCCCCAATTTAAGAAGGGCAGCAAATGACTGTTATGATAAATGCCATGCATTATTTCCAATACCTGAGGGATATAACTTTGAAACAGTCTACACCTCAGAAGTGAAGAAATATGTACCAGATGGTTTAGATAAATTAAGTGATTTTGTATTAGATTATGGAGATTATGATTCCTCTGATTTTGAGGATGATGCATCTGATAGTTCCAATGATTCTGATAGAGATTGGGAATAATTTTAATATTATGACTTAAGGTGCTACTAATATTAACTTAACGTTTCTTTTACCCAATTTAAATTTTTTTTAAAAAACTAAATTGTAATGGACATGGGTTTTTATACAACACTTATTTAACAGGAGTAGCAAATGAGTGCATGATAAATGCCATGCCTTATTTCCATTACCTGAGAAATATGATTTTAAAATAGTTTATATTTCAGAAATAAAGAAAAAGGTTTCAAATAAATCAGGTAATCTCTTGTTAGATTGTGGAAATTATATTTCATGTGATCTTAGGGGGCAGGGGAGAATGCACCTGATAGTTTCAAGGATTCAAGTAAAGAATGGAAATAATTGCAATACCCTGAGATGCATTCAAATGCCACTATTTATTTAAACAATATATTTTTAACTAACTTACAATTAAACTATTTTTAACTATAAAAATTTAAAGTACTTATGATATATATTTCAACAAAAGCAATTTTAAATAATTTGCTTAATTTAAGTTGTTTATTTTATATCTCTTTTTTCTTCTTTTCAAAAAAAATTTATATTGCATTTTGTTATTATTTTAGGTATATATTTTGCTTAATCTTTCCTTTTAACACTATAATGTCAAAACAGTATTATAATTTTTAAAATTTTTTGAGTTTTGTGTTTATTGTTGAGGAGTTATTTTGTTAGTCGATAAATTCTATATCTCAAGAGAAAACTTTTTATAAAGTGTAATTAGTTTAAAGGTTTATTCAGCATATAAGTGTCAAACTTATGCTAAGGGCTTAAGTCCTTCATAAGTATTTTTGTTCATAATCTGGATAAAAATTTTGGTATTTTTCTTTCAGATTTCTTTCATAATTTTCTATTTCAACTGCATATTATATCTATGACTTAATATTATTATGTTTCCACTTATTTTTATTCTTTGTTAGTTATTGATGTTCTAGTTTTTTTTTTTTTTTTTTTTTTTTTTTTTTTTTTTNTTTTTTTTTTTTTTTTTTTTTTTTTTTTTTTTTTTTTTTTTTTTTTTTTTTTTTTTTTGCAATAAATTGTAATATTTTTGTCTCTAATTTAATTAAAATTTAAATTTGTTTAGTAATACCCTAAGCATTTATTTAAAAGTATTAAATGAGCTGATGCATTTAAAGTATGTTTTTTACTTTTTTTACTCTACATAAAAGAAAGCAATATGAAAGTTCTTACTTACTCATTAATTGCTAATTTAAGCTGGTTCTTTTATATTCTTCTATCTATTTCAACTAAATTTTTGTCTTATTATTTTGTTACTTTATGTATTATTTGAAATAAAATATGTTTTGGTCTTAAATTAGATCTTTATTTTAAATTCTCTTGAATACTTACTTTAATGTGTTTGAGAAATTATAAGCAATGTAGTTCATATTGATATACTATTATTTATTGTTCGGTTCACTACAGAACTTTAATTTTTTTTTTACTAATGCAGAAAAAAATTTTTAAGCAATAATTTATTAACTTATCATTATTCTTCATTTAGCAACTTTAAGTCGGATTACTTGAGAAAATTGATAAGTAAGAAATATATTAAGTCATTATTTTATCAATATATTTTTTATCAGCTATTTAACTTTTTTTTTCTTTACTGACGAACATTATTTCTCTATGGTTTAAATCTAATTATTTAATATTTGTTAAAAATTACGCTTTTGCTCTTAGCATTAAAAAAAAAAANAAAAAAAAATAAAAAAAAAAAAAAAAAAAAAAAATCTGAGATGAGAAAAATTCTGCATTGCACATAGCTGGGTGTTTCTGTTACCCGGGCTTCACTTTTAAATTGTTGATTTCTAAATAAAAATCATTCACCCAAAAAATTCATGCTGTATTTTGGGCATTTGCATACCACTAAAATTTATCTGGTTTTCTTAGTTTTCAAATTTTAGTTTTTAAAAATCATTTAAAAAGGGCATTTTTTCTTAAATTTGGCTTAAGAAAAACTTTTATAATGATATATCACATTTGAAACATAGTTTTTCTGTAGTGATTGTTCTTAAGAGCATTCATAAATTATTTTTTTCGGTTAATGCAACTAAAGAAAAATTCATTAAAGTATAAATATACTTATTATAATAAGTACATTATTTCTCAAAAATATCTTCACATGTGTAATTTTGCTTCATTTCACATGTATGCATATAAGAAATTTCTGTGAACAATTTTAATGATCTAATTTTAGCTATTCATCATCACCATATATTTCACAAAAACAACAATTAGCAACATTTCTATATTAAATGATAAAAAAAAGAAAACTAAAAGGCTTAATATTTAATTTTAATTCTTTAAATTAGATATGTTATTCACATAAATAAAAAAATGAGCTCTGCAGTAATTATAATTTTCTATTTTCAGTATTTTTTGGTTACATCTTTATTAATTTTGGTTACCAAAACTAAAGAAATATTAGTAAAATATTATATTTAGATTTAAAAATACAACGTCACTTAGTTTATGAATCTAAGTAGATTCTTTATGGCACGTAATAAGCATAGTAATTATTAAAAATGAAGTATTTTATTTTATAAATGGACGTTAAACTTTTGACCTATTGTGTTTACGACTTTCAAAATTCAGCCTTTTAATTTTGAACCTAACCCAGAAAATAGGATCAAACGTCGAGGTAAATTAGCCTTCCTGAAGGACATTTTGATGAAACTAACCTGCATTTGAGTTACACGGAGAGGAAAACCACGAACGTTACTTCGACGTTAAGTGAATTCTAACTCATGATCAGGCTACAAGTGTGGATTTTAATGTTAGGACTGTGAGCAGAAAGAAGAGACCTCGGATGCCCTTGGTTGAAGTTTCTCGATTTTTCTAAAATGCCATTTTTAAAAAAAAAAAAATTTCTATGAGCCATCCCACTTTTTCTGCGTTATACAGTAATGATTAGATTATCCTAATTTTGTGTTTGGGCGAAATATACTAATAGCTTATCTTGAGAAATGGATATGAACTTTCTTCTTTATCTTGAAGTGATAATTCCTTTCTAAATTAATTGGGTTTAAAATTCACACATTTTTGAAAAATAAGGATTTGGTGCTTGGAATAGAATTTTTGTGAAACCTCTTTCTGCTCCCAAGAAACATTTGACTGATCAAATTTTTTTCAATTCGAAACATGTTTACGACAACTATATTACACGATCTTCTCCATTTTGAAATTTTTCTCTATTTAGTTAAAAATGCTTGATACTATAATTGAAGTTATAAACCAAAAAATTATATTAAAGTCGTTTTAGAGAACATCGTCCCGCAGTGGACTGATAGTTAAGACACGGTTCCCAGCAGATCACCGAAGTCAAGCATCACTGGCTACGGTCAGTGTGCGGGTGGGTGACCACTTGGATCAGTCTGCGTAGGGACCGAGGGTGTGTGGCATTGGTCCTCGTTAAACTGTTCTACCGTAAAGTGCTTGACTTGGCGTGTAGGTCGTCGGGCTACCGAAGGGGGGGTGCCATCCCTTCCGCAGAGGATCAAAATTGTGATGGCATGTCTTCGGATCATCCTCCGGGATGTTTCCCAGACCGTCGCCAATAGCCCATTGTGCAGCTGTAGTGCGACGTAAAGTAACAACAACAACAACTTTAGAGAACATCTTTCAATTTTTACAGCTCAATAAACTATCACGATTTTCATTCATTCAACATAGATCTTTGTTTTGGCACTTCTGGATTTCCTTTTTATAAGCTTTTTACTTATATAAAGGAAATAAAAATACTGTACTTGATAAAAAGAAAAAAGCCATTTCAATACGGTTTATAATAATTTCCTTATGTTATGCCATTTAATAATTTTGGGAAGGCAGTGTTGTATACTACGCACGGTTGGCTTTTATTTCAGGACACTGGAAAAGATTAGAAGAAAGTGGGCATAATGGAAGAAACTGGATGAGATGGAAGAAATTAAAAGGGACCGAAACAATTATTTAACAATAAGTATTAAAAAAATTAATTAATTTAAATATAGTGTCAGATCGTAAAAAGTTTTTTACTCCTACTTTAAAAAAAAGAAAAAAACTATTTTCATATTATTTTAGTTTCGTTAGTGATCGGCAAATCTCATGGAATACCGAATGGAAATAGAATATGCTGTAAATCGAGTCCCCTCATTAAAATAATTCCATTTTTTTTTAATTGGAAAGAATAATATTTGAGAAATACAGCCTTGTGTCAAAACGATCTAGAATGGTTAAATCGATTCTTGAAATGATACTTTTGAAGATTTTTTTCTTTCTCAATGCTATATATTAAAGTTAAATAAAGGTGTAATTTTCAATAATTTGGTTTGTGATTTCTAAATGAAGAGAGAGAAAATGAAATTTCGTAAATATGCCGAAAGACCAGACAAAATTTGCCGAATTGTGAAAATTTTTGGGAGGTCACAGTGACCTCCCATCCTTGCGGTATGCTATATTTACTTCGGGTCGCATTCATTTCATCGAAAATCACTTCATCGACACACCATTTCATCGACACCACTTCATCGACAGGCCGTTTCATCGACTAGGTCATTTCGTCGACAGGCCGTTTCCTCGACAGGGTTGTTTCGTCGACAGGCCATTTCGTCGACAGGGTCATTTCGTCGACAAGTCATTTCGTCGACAAGTCATTTCGTCGACAGGGTCATTTCGTCGACAAGTCATTTCGTCGACAGAGTCATTTCGTCGACAAGTCGCTTCGTCGACAGGGTCTTTTCATTGACAGGATCATTTCGTAGACAGGGTCATTTCATCGACAGGGTCATTTCGTCGATAAGTCATTTAGTCGACAGGATCATTTCATCGACAAGTCGTTTCGTCGACAGGGTCATTTTGTCGACAGGGTCATTTCATCGATATGATCGTTTCGTCGACAGGATCATTTCGTCGACCGGGTCATTTCGTCGACAAGTCATTTCGTCGACAGGGTCATTTCGTCGACANATGTTGTTTGATTGCTTATTATATTTCATTCCCCTCAACTCCTCAATGGCTTATTATATTTAATTTCTCTCCAACAATAAAATGAGCATTAAAGGAATGTTTAGAAAGAAAAACAATTAACTATTTTTTTTTCTTGAGAGAGAGAGAGAGTTAAATTGATAAGTAGCATATTGTTTGATTGCTTATTATGTTTAATTCCCCTCAGCTCCTCAATCGCTTATTATATTTAATTTCCCTTCACCAATAAAATGAGCATTTAAAAATATACTTCTAAAAAATATTTGATAATTTTTTTTCTTGAGAAGGAGTTAAATCAATAAATAGCATGTTGTTTGATTGCTTATTATATTTCATTCCCCTCAACTCCTCAATGGCTTATTATATTTAATTTCTCTCCAACAATAAAATGAGCATTAAAGGAATGTTTAGAAAGAAAAACAATTAACTATTTTTTTTTCTTGAGAGAGAGAGAGAGTTAAATTGATAAGTAGCATATTGTTTGATTGCTTATTATGTTTAATTCCCCTCAGCTCCTCAATCGCTTATTATATTTAATTTCCCTTCACCAATAAAATGAGCATTTAAAAATATACTTCTAAAAAATATTTGATAATTTTTTTTCTTGAGAAGGAGTTAAATCAATAAATAGCATGTTGTTTGATTGCTTATTATATTTCATTCCCCTCAACTCCTCAATGGCTTATTATATTTAATTTCTCTCCAACAATAAAATGAGCATTAAAGGAATGTTTAGAAAGAAAAACAATTAACTATTTTTTTTTCTTGAGAGAGAGAGAGAGTTAAATTGATAAGTAGCATATTGTTTGATTGCTTATTATGTTTAATTCCCCTCAGCTCCTCAATCGCTTATTATATTTAATTTCCCTTCACCAATAAAATGAGCATTTAAAAATATACTTCTAAAAAATATTTGATAATTTTTTTTCTTGAGAAGGAGTTAAATCAATAAATAGCATGTTGTTTGATTGCTTATTATATTTCATTCCCCTCAACTCCTCAATGGCTTATTATATTTAATTTCTCTCCAACAATAAAATGAGCATTAAAGGAATGTTTAGAAAGAAAAACAATTAACTATTTTTTTTTCTTGAGAGAGAGAGAGAGTTAAATTGATAAGTAGCATATTGTTTGATTGCTTATTATGTTTAATTCCCCTCAGCTCCTCAATCGCTTATTATATTTAATTTCCCTTCACCAATAAAATGAGCATTTAAAAATATACTTCTAAAAAATATTTGATAATTTTTTTTCTTGAGAAGGAGTTAAATCAATAAATAGCATGTTGTTTGATTGCTTATTATATTTCATTCCCCTCAACTCCTCAATGGCTTATTATATTTAATTTCTCTCCAACAATAAAATGAGCATTAAAGGAATGTTTAGAAAGAAAAACAATTAACTATTTTTTTTTCTTGAGAGAGAGAGAGAGTTAAATTGATAAGTAGCATATTGTTTGATTGCTTATTATGTTTAATTCCCCTCAGCTCCTCAATCGCTTATTATATTTAATTTCCCTTCACCAATAAAATGAGCATTTAAAAATATACTTCTAAAAAATATTTGATAATTTTTTTTCTTGAGAAGGAGTTAAATCAATAAATAGCATGTTGTTTGATTGCTTATTATATTTCATTCCCCTCAACTCCTCAATGGCTTATTATATTTAATTTCTCTCCAACAATAAAATGAGCATTAAAGGAATGTTTAGAAAGAAAAACAATTAACTATTTTTTTTTCTTGAGAGAGAGAGAGAGTTAAATTGATAAGTAGCATATTGTTTGATTGCTTATTATGTTTAATTCCCCTCAGCTCCTCAATCGCTTATTATATTTAATTTCCCTTCACCAATAAAATGAGCATTTAAAAATATACTTCTAAAAAATATTTGATAATTTTTTTTCTTGAGAAGGAGTTAAATCAATAAATAGCATGTTGTTTGATTGCTTATTATATTTCATTCCCCTCAACTCCTCAATGGCTTATTATATTTAATTTCTCTCCAACAATAAAATGAGCATTAAAGGAATGTTTAGAAAGAAAAACAATTAACTATTTTTTTTTCTTGAGAGAGAGAGAGAGTTAAATTGATAAGTAGCATATTGTTTGATTGCTTATTATGTTTAATTCCCCTCAGCTCCTCAATCGCTTATTATATTTAATTTCCCTTCACCAATAAAATGAGCATTTAAAAATATACTTCTAAAAAATATTTGATAATTTTTTTTCTTGAGAAGGAGTTAAATCAATAAATAGCATGTTGTTTGATTGCTTATTATATTTCATTCCCCTCAACTCCTCAATGGCTTATTATATTTAATTTCTCTCCAACAATAAAATGAGCATTAAAGGAATGTTTAGAAAGAAAAACAATTAACTATTTTTTTTTCTTGAGAGAGAGAGAGTTAAATTGATAAGTAGCATATTGTTTGATTGCTTATTATGTTTAATTCCCCTCAGCTCCTCAATAGCTTATTATATTTAATTTCCCTTCAACAATAAAATGAGCATTAAATGAATATTTAGAAAGAAAAAAATTAACTATTTTTTTTTCTTGAGAGAGAGTTAAATTGATAAGTAGCATATTGTTTGATTGCTTATTATATTTAATTCTCCTCAACCTCAAAAATCAAATCGAGTTTGAAAACTAAATCGAAAATGACTTCCTGTGCCAGGAAATTAACGATTACTTAATTGCAGAAAGAGTTTGGGGATAAATTATGTGTGTCTACTGTTACTTTTTATACTTTAAATGCAATTTAAAAATAATAAAAAAAAAAACTTGGTTTTTGTAAATGATTGGTTGGAAACATAAAACGATAAGTATTGTCAAAAGTGCTCCATTCAAGATAAACTTCTTTAAGTGATAACGATACATACAGGCAGCCTCCATTAATTATTGTTTTTCTCCCTTTTTTCTTTCTTTTTTAGAATGAAAATAACAGGATCATTTATCGTTATCATTTTTCTTACTGCGGGATTTGAACTGAGTTTTTCCTCACCTGTGAATGATGTAAGTTAAAAATTTTACGATAATGCGAAATTTTAATTTTTTTTTCTTCTTCTTTTTATCCGCTGTGGGATTAATCGTTTTTCGGTTATCTGGTTGTTGGACGAAATCTTAGCGGAATACTGAATTAAGTATTTTATTTTCAAAAATACTATATAGAGTTTAAGCATGGGGAATTCTATCCCATTCTTTGATCTCGTCCCGATAATTTTTTCTAAAATTTTTGACAAAATTCTATGACATTTGCGTTTGATTCCCCCTTTTTTTGACGTTAGTTACAAATTGACAATTGTTCAAATTCTATCCCACAAAATTTGACTAATTCTATGATCTTCCGTATTCTTTCGTGATTTTATTATTACCCTTATTTTTTACTTATTTATTTATTTATTTTTGCAAAAGTCAAATATTGATAGATTTTGTCCAATAATTTTTGACCAATTATACTATCTTTATATATTTATTTATTTGCCTATTTCTTACTATGTCAATCAGATTATTAATTATTAAGTCAATTATTCAGATTCTGTTTTGTAATTTTGGATCAATTCTACGATTTTTATTTTTTATTTTTTGAACTTTTTTCTTATTTGCAAAAGCTAATTATTATCAAATAAGATGCCATTTTTTAAAACTCAATTAAGCATAATTAAATTTTTTCTTCTAATTTTGCAATTTTTCTGAGGGATTCGCCTGTTTACATTTGTCGCGCCACACAATTTAGGAATTTCATTTACAGTTGATGATCTATAGAACGTAATTCAATAAACCTTACTTTTCTATAAACCACATTAATTTTGCTTGTCAGAGAAAAAATGAAAATTGCAACTTCTTTAAACAGAGTAAGGAATATGAAATTTTTACATAATTTGCCAAAAGATTGCCATTTCAGAAGTTAAGCTAAACCTTAAATTTGTACTTCTCTCCAGTGCTCGAGAAAATTAATTTCTTTTTCTCAAACTAATAAATATGCACATTTTTGGGTTTTTAATTATTTGTATCTAAAAATAATTTAAAAACAGACTAATATTGCTGCCATATTTAGCATATAAGGTTAAAGAAGATGAAATAATCTATATAACAAATTCTGTTAACTCAAAGCCTTGGATTTCAAGGTTAGCGTTATATAAATTTTCTATTGTATTTCATTTAATAAAAGTTTTTTTTATATTTATTTTATTTAATCTCACTTTCATGCCGAAAATGCTCGGATAAACTTGATTGATTTTGTTTTTCAATGTAGAAATAACAGATGCTAATATTTCAGATTAGTAGAAAAGGCAAACTTTTTGAATGCACTAAGCATGACGATTGTGAGCAAGGGCAATGTTGTACTTTTCAAAGTCGGCAGACTCTCAAAGGAACTACTAACATAATTTGTAAGTAAAAAAAAAAAAAAAAAAATAGTTAAGTACATTTAATGTATTCATATAAAAGTAGAAAAAGATGCGTTAGAACCTCGAATATCCGAACCCTTTTAATTAAAATATCTTAGTTAACCGAAATCGATTTTAAAAAAAAAATTTTTTCTTCCAATTTCAATACTATTTTCTCGTATTCCAGTTATATAGGAGGCCTAAATAATGAAATAGTACTTCGGTTTTATTAAAGGCATCTGAAAGCTGTTGTTTTCGTTGTTTTATTTTAACTAATGTAATTAATTTAAGCTCTCGTATAGCTTTTATTTGTGTTAAAAGGAAGAGTGTTATGTTATCTGTCTAATAATAATAATAATAATATCGATAAAAGGAATCCTCATAGAGGCTTAAAAGCACTCATGTAGCTTTTAATTGTGCTGAGAGGAAGCGTGTTATGTTATTTGCTCAATAATAATAATAGTATACTACTATTACTTTTAATATTACTACTACTAATAATAATATACTATACAAATAATAATAATAATAATGCAGCCGTTCGAATAAAATCTGGAGAAATTCATTACAAAGTAATATAAATTAATAAAATCTACTTGAAAATCAATTAAATTAGCCAAAAAGTTAGAATTAGTCCTGTCTGGTACAAATGTTTTTATTTTTTTTAAATTTAAATTTTTTTTTTTTTAAACAAAGGAGTATCGCTACAGGAAATAATATTGGAAGCGAGTATCCTTATATCTAGTTCACAAAAGACATTTTATAAATATTCAAATTAAAAGTGAATTTAAATAGTGTATAGCACTGTTATTAAAATTTAAAAAAAAGATGATTTTCAGAGTTCATTACTAGAAAAAAAGGAAAAAAGATAATTGAAATATTTTTGATCATGATAAGTAGGATAAGGTGGTTCGATCCCAACAACTTCGATTAATGGAAGTTTTATTGTATTTTCATTATTAAAATAGTCATTAGTTATATTTTAATTCATGCTCTGAATTATTTTTCTTAAAAAATTACATTTTAAAGTACTTTTCGTGATTAGTTGATCTATATGTATGATCTGGTTTATATATTTCCAATTTTCAAAGCTCAAATAAAATCAATTCGATAATTTGGTTAGAAAATTTTGAACTAAATAAAGAAATTATGCGGAATTCGTAAGGTAAAAAGTCAGACTTAAAAAAATTTTTTTTTTTTACTATTGAAACTATACAATTATGTAAATAAAAAAAAAAATTAACTTTTTTTCTTCTTCTTTATGACGGGATGTTGTAAAAAAAAATTTGTCTTTTAAAATTGAAGATTTATTGATATTCTCATGAAAATTTCATTTTTCAATTATGTGCAAATAATTGTGGATTCATGAAAAATATTTAAATAACTTTATTTTTTGCGTGATACATACTTGCAATCATATAATTATATTACTTCAAAATTTAAAAAGAGGCTGAAGCCAAACTTTCAGTATTAAAACATAAAAACCGCATTTTTTTTAATTTATCAAAGTTCAAAGATGTTGCAATAGCCCAATTCATTTTATTGATGAAAACTAACTCTTATAATAATTACATCTTATTAAACAAACAAACTAGAGTAGTTATTTTCAAAATTTACCTCTCGAACTGTTTTTATCCTGTTCTGTAATTGCAAAATTAAACTACAAAAAAGTTTTTGCTAGGAATGCAACTCCGAAAAAGGATTGCTTTGAATCGCACATGATTAAAGAAAAAGATTTTGTTCTTTTCCTAAATAAAAACGTTACGTAAATGATGGTGCCATCTATGTGATGCAAAAGGAACCTACTAAAGTGTTTCGAAATCTTTAGTTTATTTATTGTATGTTTTACATGAGGCTCAATGACCGATATTCAAATGCGTTCTTTATTTTAAAAATTTTTTAAAATAAACTAATAAATGTTTATAAAACTGTTGTACTAAATTGCTAAATTTAAAGATTATTTTAATCGAAAAATATCGCCATTATGTTTCAGTAAAAGTCATTCAAAATAAAAATTCACTCATTATAAATTACTTTATTTTCAGGAATAAAATTAGTAACCGTGAGTTTCCTTGTTTTAGACAAAGAGACCCGAAGGTTTTCAAACCTGCAACACAATTTTTCCTGCTAACCTGCAGGAAAGCCAGGTTTTACATTTTAAACATCAATGGGTCTATAAATGTTCAACATTTGTAGGAGTCAGTAGGCCGAAAATGATTTTATTTTAATTTTTTTTAAAAAAAGAAAGACCTGAAGTGTTTATCTTTATGTTTGAAAAAGTGACACTTCGATAAGGTAGTTAGAAAGAACTGTTTTGGATCAATTAGTAGTTTCCATTTTGTTGATTTTGCACTAAAATTTCTATTGGTAAAGGCTATAAAAATAATAGTTGAAAGCTATGTTTTTTTTTTTTTTTTTTTTTTTTTTTTTTTTTTTTTTTTTTTTTTTTTNTAAGACCTTATGTACGGTAATGTACGAAGGGGGGGGGAGGGGTTTAAAATGTCTCCATTTTTGTGTACGTACTTTTTGAACGGCCCCTAATAGCAACTGTTTTGGTTGTTAACTTTTCTTTAGAATACATTATTTTCAGTATGTACGATAGAAGAAATTTGAAACTTTTCTTATAAATGTTAATTTTTTTAAAGTGGAATTTTGAAAAGTTAGTTAGAAAAATCCATTTTGGATTAATTAGTAGTTTTCACTCTGTTGATTTTGCATTACAATCGGTGAAGATTATAGAAATAACTGAAAATTAACGCATTTTTCCTTCTGCGAATTTCGAATTATGAGAAATGTTAGTTGTAGCAGATAACACGAATGTTAACTTTGCTTTAGAATATATTATTTTCAGTTGGCACGCTTGAAGAATTTTTTTTTTTTAAATTTTAATTTTTTTGGAAATTAAATATTGAAAACTTAGTTTGAAAAAGATGTTTTGGATGAATCTGAAATCTTTGGATGAATTTGAATGAATCTTTGGATGTTTCCCATTTGGCTGATTTTGTACCAAAATTTATAAAAGGTTGAAGGCAAACACATTTTATTTTGATAAATTCCGAAATATGATATTTGCTATAGTTCGAGCCACAAACATAAATGTTAACTTTTCTTTAGAATACGTAACTTCTTTTTAGTTTAAGTGATGTAAAACTTTAAGTGATGATAAACTTCAGTAAACTTAAGTAACTTCTAACTTTAAGTGAAATAAAAAATTTTTTTCTTTCTTTTCTAAATTTTATTTCAAATAAAAGTGGAATTTTAAGCAATATTAATTTGAAAAAGTATTTAGGTTTAATTCATGATTTGCATTTAGTTGATTTTGTATGAAAACGTTTTTCCGATATTTTTCTCTCTCTTTTTTATTTTTTTACTATAGTTGTTGACAGCACATTTATGTTTATCAGTTTTGACATATGCAATATATTTCGAAACTGATAAACAAAGGATATTACGATAGGGTTAATTAGCAGTTTTAATTTAGTTCGTATAGTATCAAACCTCTTATATTTGCTTTGTTTACTTTTTATAACAAAGAAAAGTTAGAATGCAGAAACACTTTTTTTTATCAATCCAAGAGTTTGAGAAAAAATTATTATATCAACAAACAGAAATGTTGTCTTTAATTTTTTATTGAACTTGTATAAGGAAATCCAAAATTATTATTTTTCAAAAAATAACATGTTTTAAAAAATAACATGTAAGAAAATGTTTCAGGTAATAGCTTGCGTTTAATTTTTATATAAAAATTTTTACCTCTAAGTAGCTATTCTATTTATTTCTAAAAAGTCGCTTGAAATAGAATTTTTTTCTAAAATATAAAGAACGTAATTAATTATGGCAAGTTATCTTAACTTTTAATTAAAATAAATTTTTTCATAAGCCAGATAGCTAAAATATGTGTAAACGTTTTTTTTATTAAAAAAAGAGGACATTTTGAAAGGTAAATTTGAGTAATGTGTTTAAAATAACGCAGTAGTGTTTAATAATATTATTTCTAAAAAATTTAATTATCATTATTTCCAGTATAAAAACATCATTTTCAGAGTTTTCATGAAAAAAAAAACTAAATATTTATATTTTTGACATTTGAATTCTTTGCATAAAGGAAATATATATTTTTAATTTTAGTATGGTTTTCTTTTGACACATTATTCATATTTATAATTTATCGTTGTATTGAAAGAAAAAAAATTACTTGTATTTGTGATCTTAAAAATTACATTACACAAGTAAATGGAAGGATATTTTTTTTCAGGAATTAAAAACGTGATGAAAGTCTTACCTGTTTATTTCTTAATCATATTAAAAACAAAACTATTATTTATTTACGAAGCTTAAAGGCACGAAATTTTATTAAAAAAATGCAATCGATGATGAATATTTTTTTTTTATTTGAATTGCAAACATTGAAAAATAAATAACTCTCCGTAATCTTTACTTATACTAATAACTTAATAAAATACTTTCCTGAAAAAAAATGAAAATTAGAAAGTTTTTTTATTAAATTGTTTGGTTCTCTCATTAATTATAAATTTCAGTTTTCTACTAAAGGAATATTTAAGTATCGTAAGGGCCTAGACGTTTTAAATTCCACTTTTGAAAATTAAAGTGTGTACAACCATAGAAAACATTTTATGATAAGCTACATTTTTTGTTGGTGTGGAATATTTTTAGTTTTCTGAATTTCCATATGAGAAATTTATGTATTTGTTTTTTTTGGGAAAGTAAAGATAATTTATTTATTTATTAAGATAAATGATGTTAGATATGCGGCCGAAAAAGTGATAAATACATATTAGAATTACAGTTAATATTTGATTTTTTTTCAGGAATAAAATAAATTTCCGTCGTTTCTTCTATGTGTCTGGTTTATTTTTTTTAGGCGTAGAATTTTTTTAAATAATTTTTTCTCTTCAGAAAAGAAGAAGTACAGGAAAGAAGTTGAAAATAAAAATTAAATAGGAAAGATAATTTGAGAGATATTAAATCGTACATTTTCTTAATAAAGTGAAAAGAAACAATGAATAATATGTATCTATTTTTTAACGTAGTTTAAACTGAATAATAATGAAGTAGCATATTTATTCTCAATTATCAGTACTTCAATTCAGAAATTTTTTTTTCTTATCAAGGAATAACATTAAATTAATTAAACATAAGCAACTAATTAATAAATGCAAGAGAGATTCTCTCGTTTAAAAACTGCTGTTTAAAGAGAACATTGAGACATCGTTTTAACAATCGTACTTTTAAATACTTTTTTTGAATTGTATTTAATCATTTAATCAGGGGGTGAACTAATTTTTTAATAATGGATGTCTTAGCAGTTACAACGCTCCCTTGTTAATGAAGGATACAGGTTCGAATCCCAGCTGCGGTAAAACCATCACGCGTTCTGCTCCCGGTTTCATCGTTCGCAGTGCTAACGAAAAATGTCCCCTGTAGCAGGTGGATCACGGGTTTCTTAGGAGGTTTTCCTTTTCTTCTATCACTAATGCAAGTCTGTTTCCCTGAAAAAGCCCTTCCCCAGTGCGCGTTTGTTCCAAAAGTTCCCTTGTTTTTTGGGTTGTTTACAAAATTTCAAGGTTACGGAGTTAAACATTGACATAGCTGAAAATTCTACATAGATCAGTTGTACAATACTGGCTATAAAATTAGTTTTTGCTCGGTATGCATTTATCATTTATGTCTTCTAGTTTCAAACTTCTGATAGTTCAAATCATTTAAATAAATATCTTACATACAGTGTGTTAAATAAGAAAAACGTACCACCCTGACTAACTTTTGATCTAATGATCGAATCTAAGAATAATCAAATTTAAGAAGAAAAAAAGCACGATTTCTTTAAAATTCGATTTCTTAGGAACTATTCGTCGTAATTAGCATAAATTTTGTAATTTGCCATGCAAAAGAACATTCTTTAAAATGATGTAAAAAAATTGTATACATTACAGTTCAAATCTTTTAAACTGTAATTAAATAAAAAAAAATGCATTAAATATTTTTTAAAAGTTCTGTTTTGCATGGAATTATCTTTGGACAAACGTTTTTTTTTTATTATTGTGTGCAAAAATTTTTCATTTCTCTTAAAAAGTTCTTGGGGTTCGATGAAATAAGTAAACTTAACATTAAGGGGTCGAAACTTTGGACCAGTCGTCTGACCAAACTATTGGGACCATATTTCCAAGATTGCGGCTAACACCTATATTTTGAGGGTCAGAAATACGAATCAGTAGTATAAAAAAATGTATCATTATTCAGAAAAAGTACGTTTTTGTGTCTGATTTCGTAACTTTAAATGTCGTCTGCACTTATCAATTAACATATTTGAGGTCACACCCTTGAACAATTAAGTTTTAGTCCTAAAATATGAAGATTCAATTATTAGATCAAGAGTTATTTAGTGTGGTCCGTTTAATTTTTGAGCACTACAAACAATGTCAATGAGAAGTGCAGCATTGTGCTCAAAATCACTTGTTTTTAAAATTACATCATTACATTTTTTTTTTAATTTTAAAATTGAATAAAAATATTTTCAGTTTCATGTAACTATTCATATGATATAATATTAGTTTCATCCAATATAATTATTTTAGAGTAATTTTCTTTCGAAGATTGAAATTCGGCAATAATAAATTTAAATTTTTAAGCAGAATTAATTCGTTAGAATAAGTTTAGTTTTTAACTCTATATGCTATTCCGAAGTGATTGTAACAAACCATAATTTCTGTATAAGTTTATTACAACAATAGCAATTTAATAAAACAATATATAACATGTATAACAATAATATCAATAGCGTATTTTAGGGGTTTCATATTGGTTCCTTCAATGGTGACCAACCAACTTTGCTTCATCAACTTGAACAATAACATTTTTTAATTTAACTGTAACTAATTTTGAAGTTTGCAATTTATGTTAATTTTTTTAACATTTGTTGTAAATAATTTTAATTAAAAATCGCGATTAACCTTTTTTCCAAAATCACAATTAACCTTTTTTAAAAAAAAATCACAATTAACCTTTTTTTAAAAAAAATCACAATTAACCTTTTTTAAAAAAAAATCACAATTAGCCTCTTTAAAAAAAAAAATCACAATTAACCTTTTTTTTAAAAAAATCACAATTAACCTTTTTTTTAAAAATCACAATTAACCTTTTTTCAAAAAAAATCACAATTAGCCTTTTTTTTTTAAAAAAAAAAAAATCACAATTAGCCTTTTTTTTAAAAATCACAATCAGCCTTTTTTAAAAAAATCACAATTAGCCTTTTTTTTAAAAAAAAAATCAAAATTAACCTTTTTTAAAAAAAAATCACAATTAACCTTTTTTAAAAAAAAAAAATCACAATTAACCTTTTTTTTTTAAAAAAATCACAATTAACCTTTTTTTAGACATGGTACCGATTTGAAACACATTCTTGAGCAAATAAATATATTCTCAAACTTGATTTCACTGTACTATGGTTCAACGTGAGGAGTAACATTGTTTAATTTAACATCGTATTAAAGATGCAGCAAATTTGAAGGATATTGGGATCTAAGGAGTTGATATTATTATTAAATTCAAATCGATTTTTCTGAGTATGGTATAAAAAAAGAATGGGGAGTACGGCAAATCAAAAAGTATTTGGATTAATGCTTAGCATTTTTCCTTTTGAAAATTATAACAGTTATTTTTGAAATATGTTTAAATGAATTTTTGTTCATTTATTTCAGGGAAATGCAAACCATTAGGAGATGTAAACAGACTATGCCATAGCTTAGGGAATGTGCATTGTCCTTGTCGTCAGGGTCTGAAGTGTAAGCCTAAGTCAGTTTGGTTTTTTGGTGCTGGAGTTTGTGAGCAAAAGTGACATTTATTGATAAAAAATTTACACAATTTAAAATTAGATTTTCAAATTGTGTGATTGTTGATTGCGAAAATATTTTATTAATTATTGTATTAACAATTGTGTAACAATTGTATATAAGTAAAATTGTGCCAGAGCAAAATAAATGCATTTTGCCCGAAAAGTGTGAGCAATATTTATTTTGTAAGCTATTATTTGATTACACTGGGGCAGTGTTTCCCAAACTTATGACTTTTGTGTACCCTTTCTAAATTTTTCATAACGCTGTGTGCCACTAATAAAAAAAATTAATATATTTTTTAAGAAATATGTTAATTTTTACTATAAGGAAATTGCACGAAAGTTAAAAATTACTACTGACTGTTGACACCACTAATTACTAACTGTTAACTCTACAAAAAATGGCCAATGGAAAAATACGTAATCGTAAATTTCCATGGCTAGCTTTGTTTTTAAATAAAATTTTTTGAAATTTTCGTTTGTTGCAAGATATTTCGCATAAGAATGCGTACCCCTGCTAAACTGTTCCCATACCCCAGGGGGTACGCGTACCACACTTTGGGAAACACTGCACTGGGGAATAATTTATGGATTTTTTAACGGATCTTGGATATGTTCTCGTCGCTGATTTCGAATCTGCAATCGGTTTCACGCTCCAAGCAACAGTTTTTTTTAAATGAGAATTTTAGTCTATTTTTTTGCCATCATACGGCACTAGGGGCGCTTCTCCATTATGAACTTTTTCTTTGTGTCCTTCTGCACAGGTCAAAAGAGTGAAGCGTACTCTAGTCGCGTTCGATGACATTTCCGGACATGATTCCTGTGCAATTTTAATTATGATGATATTTTTTTTTTTACTCCCCTTGTAATTTGTCGCAATATCTATGCGATTGTGATCCTTGTCATATACAACGTTTTTAAGGTTATGCATTTCGGAAAAAAAATAGACTAAAAATCTCATTAAAAAATATTGAGGAGCAAAACTAATTTTTAGATTTGAAATCCCTACAATTGATATCAAGATCAAGTATTTGCCTAGATGCAAAAAAAAATTTTTTTTTTTTTTTAGTGTAATTATCAAAACAGTAATATTATTTGAGGAGTGGTGGCTCAGAGGATAGAGCGTTCGCCCTTCAATGAGGTGAATCGGGTTCGAATTACAGCAATGGCAAGTTGATACGAATTCCGCACCCAGTTTGCACTGACCACAGTGCCGGCGTAAAATATCCTCAGTGGTGGATGGATCATGGGTTAGAGTCCCCTTGCGTCAGGTAAACCGTAGGAGGTTTTCCTTTCCATGTAACGCAAACGAGGGGTAGTTCCATCAAGAAAATTCTCCACGAAGGTAAATTCTCCCAATACTTGATCCAGGAGTTCCCTTGTCTTCTGATTTGGGTTCAAAATTACAAGGCTACGGAGTTAAACATTAGTAGTCGTAAACCCAAAATTGGGTAGGCTATTCAATGATAGTTATTAAATAAAATGGTGTTATTTGATTTCAGCAATTTTTACTAAATTATTGATGAAATATTGATGGAAAGGAAGGGGTTACTATCCTTAAAAGTGTGATAATTATTCCAGATGATATTTTTTTTGCAGTGTTTACTGCTTTTAGTTGCTTTCAGTGGCGTAAGGGAGTGGTCGGTCGACGGAGGCACTGACCCCAACATCCTGTCAAAGGGGACTTCAAATTGACCACTTAGTACACTGTAACTTCAAATCTGATCGGAGATTAATAGTATTATTTTTCTTATTAGGTAACTAAGATTTTTATTAGGTTAATACCTGACTTTAGCGAAATATTTTATGAAAAATAATATATGAAAGATAATTAAGTTTCTTCTTTAATTAAATTTTTTATAAAAATAATAAAAATTTAATAATTAAGTTTTTGGTGAATAAAAATTATAAATATTTTTTTTACGTTTAAAGAAATTGAGAATATTTTTTTAGTTATAATTAGTGTTCTTCAAAGGTATAATTTACATAAAATTGAGTTTAAAACTTGAATTTAAGTTTTTATGAAATTAAATTAAATTTTATGTTTTGTCCCATCTATTTTCAGGGCGTATATTCGGGCAATTTACCTCGGACACTTCTGCTCGCCACTAGATGCTTTTTCATACATTTCGTGATTCGTAAAATTATGTTTCAAAGTAATTCACAATATTTTGGATGTATTTCTAATCCAATTTGTTTTTGCATAGACCTCAATTTTTATTTTCAGAGCATTTAAGGATTTTATATCTTTTTCAATACGCTACATTTTGATAGAAAAGTTCAACATTTTACTATATATCAGTATTTTGAATTACAATTTCATGTTTGCATGACAAAAGAATTCTAACTCTTTTAAAATAACCCAATTGAGTACATTTTAATTCATAATTTAGTAATCTTAAGGATACAGTTTTAATTAAAGCATGTTTATTCAAAATTCTTTTGAATCTTAAAACGAAGAAAGATTGTAATACTTGCGAAAAATATTCTAAAAGATTTCTGAATTAATGATGCAATTTTTTTACTGAAAAGAAAAATTACTTAAAAAATGTTTTTAAAATGAGGAAATCAATGTATAATATCTTAATGTTTGATTAATTCATTAAAAAAATTAAGATCAAAGTAAGGAAAACTCTGGTGAAAAAAGTTGTTCAATAAAAAATGAATTTTAGGAGGCTTTCATCTGACTAATGGCTTTGGTGGGTTTTCATCAAAAGAACTAATTTTCTGCCACAAATATTTACTTTGAAACTCCATGTCATTTCATAAATATTTGTGGCAAAAAATGTTTTTTCCATATTTTTTCAGGTATCCTAAATTAATTTAATTAGCTATTGAGTTTGAGGGTCTAATATTTTTAAACAATGTTGTGAGTTGTTTTAAAAGTTATATTTCCTGCATAAATTGTTAAACACTATCGTTGTAAATTTTGCTTACATCTGAAAAAAAAATTATATAAATTTAAACGCCAAGACTAATTTTTTTTTTAAAAAATTAGTCTGTAACTGTAATTTAAAAACTGAAAATTTAATTCATATTTTATTTCCAAAACTGTACTTTGCACACAATCTGCTTAAAATTTAAATGTTTTGAAATTTTTTTTTTGTATTGTTAAAGACTATCACTGTAAATTTTACTTACATCTGAAATTTTTTTTTCTAAATTTAAACGCCAAGACTAATTTTTTTATAAAATGTAATTGTAATTTAAGAACTACAAATTTAATTTATATTTTCTTTCCAAAATTGTACTTTGTACACAATCCGCTCAAAATTTAAATGTTTTGAAAATATTTTTTTTAGCTAAACAAAATCTGAGTTGTATCTTTGCATTCTTTTTTTGTTTTGGAAAAGTATTTATATTGTTTTAAATATTTAGAATGCTTCCATTTTGTTTAACACAAATAATTTGAAAAGAAAAATAATATTTCAGCAGCTTTTTAAATTAAAATATTAAAATCTTGTAGTCTTAAAGCAGAATGAGTGCATAGAAGATTTGTAGTCATGCTTAGGAAAATCTTAATAATGTTTCAAAAGGCTAGCGAAGAAATAATAATCGTTAGAGGTTATTTCAATGAAATTTAAAACTATGCAATTTTTATGATAGTTTTTCATTCACGCATAAGAAACTTCGAATCTAATGTATGTATGTTTAATAAATTTATTGTTTGCTTTCTTCTTTTTTTAAAAAAAATTAACTAGTTATGATTTTATCATGAATCAATACAGTAAAAAACAATAGTTAAGTTCAAGTAGACAAACACCATTTGATTATTATTTCAGGATTCCTAAGATTTTGCATTTTGTGAGTGTTTTATTAAGGGGTAGGGCAACATAATAATTATAAGACATTTTCAAATTGATCATAATAGCTTGTTTTAAAGAAGTTTTACAAAGTTCTGGATCACATTACGGTGTAAATTACCAGGACTTTGGATGCATCATCCATAAAATCTATTTTTTAACCGTAAAATATTATACTATAATCTTTACAGTAATATTTAAGTAGAGTAATTCGGGGAATTTACGGTATTTATTACTGCAAAAATTAAGATTTGTCAGATTTATAGTTCCTTAACATGTTCCATTAAAAAAGAGATTTTATGTTACAGGCAAGCTGAAAGCCTGTAATTTCAATCGTAATTTGATCCGGAATTTCTTACTATGTAGGTTGGAAAGCCATTATTTGGTGAAAATCATCAAGTAGACAAAAAGATGTCGGGGCACTGTTCTGTTATAATGCAGAAATTACGGATGCATTAAAAATTACCTATTTAAAAACAATACTACGAAACAGCTTGATGTAAAAATGTCTGGGACTTATCACTATATTTAACCGATTTCTTTCCATAGAGGAATTTGGTGCAAGAAGTGAATTCTGAAAATGTAAAAAATAAAATTCTTTTGGAAATACCTTATGCTCAAGAGCTGAATATATTGTACATTAATATAGGTATTGTTTTAAGTGAGTTATTAATAAGAAAATATGTTATGTCGACAACTGTGGGGATAGTAGTTATCGACCATGTCAACCTTTATCTATGAAAAGGTACTCCAAGATGGAATCGAGTTAACATGTCTTATTGTACTTTTTAGTGGTAGACACACTACATTACTCCCCCTACAGAATTATAGGTGTAATAGAAATTGATGAAAGGATACTACTAGTTGATTCATTGCTGTTTTGTGAGAAGTCGGGAGAGCTGTATTAAGATCACCGTACTTTGGTGTGCTGATCGTGAGAGCTACGTTCACGATCGTGGTCGCTTCTGTGCTGCCATTAGCAGTCGAGTGAATACGTTGTGTGTGATCGAGATTGAGTAGCAACAGCGCGAGGAGGTGAATAATGTCGCAGTCACAAGTAGCAAGTCAATTTTTCAATGCGTACCAACCATCGAAGTAGACGTGTTCATATTGAAGTGGGCGTTACTGTCAAGATAAGCGTGTTCAGATCGAACTGGGAGTTTCTGTCAAGGTAGGCATGTTCATATCACGTCCGGGTCACCAATCTGGGGACAGTAGTTATCGATCATGTCAACCTTCATCTATGAAAAGGTACCCCAAGATAGAATCGAGTTAACATGTGTTATATACTAGTGAATTGGAATTGTAGTTTTGTAGTGGTAGATACACTACAACAACTTCTAAGCATTTATATATTTTTAAAGCTGCTTTTTTCCCAAATTCACTAAAATATTACTTGGCCCTTTCAACATCAAGTTTCTCAACTATTCAACAGTGGGAATTTTATCTTTTATACAGACACTTGATACAAGGAGCGATGTTTGATACTAAGAGCACTATTATATACAAGAAGCACTTTCTGCTACAAGGAGCACTCTTTGCTACTCGATTAAAAAAACTCTGGTAAAATTACCGTACTGTATGGTAATGACATTTATAGTACAAGAAAAACCCATAATTCTGTTCAATAAAATCCAAATATACGGTATTAAGCCATTTATTTGAAAATTTTTCGATTCATATCTCGTAACGGTTTACCAGAAATTCTGACTATCAAAGTTATAGTTCCAGTAACAGCACATTAAGTAAAAAATACAAAACTAGAAATTAAATTTAACCGAATGATTAGTTTTTATACCTCGTTTTGGTTGATATCGTTAAATTTATTGGATTTCAAATTTTTATAAGGGTCCGTTGGACAAATTTTAAACTTTAACTTAAAAAAGAAAATTTTTTTTTCTTGATTTTTTCATATATTTTATTGTTAAACATCAATCTTTAGATGTTTAATTTCACCTCATAGTTAATAGTCGGAATAATCACAACTATACATATAAAACGTTTAATTCTAGAGGGGAAATTGTTACTTTTGTATTTTTGCCCGATAACCTCCGGGCATTAGTACTCCAAAATAGTACTATGTTTTTTTCCTGTTTTTAAATAAATGCCACGGAGGAGATTCGCCGGGCCTCTCGGCCAGTGCGTGTGGCAGATACTCTTTGTCCACCTCCGGCTGTGCGGGAAACTGTCACGGAGACAAGATGAAAATTTTTCCCGCATACCCATATTTGGGGGGGGGGGGTCGGTCACCTAATGTATATACTTCGTTTTAAGATATCACGATAAAATTATCAAATTTTACCACATTTACCAAATTTGACACATATTATAAAACCATATTTTATTGTTAATTTTACCAAAATTGTTTCCAAAGCGCTTCGGTAAAAATTACCTAGCTTTTTGGTGTTTCCATAGAACCGGTAAATTTTACCTTATTCTGGTAGTTTCCATCGTACAAAAATGTACGATCCACAATGTAAAAGGATCACTCTTTGTTACAAAGAGTACTCTTTGATACAAAGAGAATTCTTTGATTATAGGAGGCAATCTTTAATACAAAGGAGCATTTTTTGGTAATCAGGTCATTCTATGATATTTGGAATATTCTTTGACAGAAGCAGCATTCTTTGATACAAGGAACACTCTTGGACGCAAGGAATAATCTTAATGTAGTTTTTTCTTCGCGGAAAAACCTAAGTCACTCTAATTTCGTCTATTGATCAGCTGATTGGTGATAATGATAAAAGAACAACGTTTCTCTCAAAAGCTTTTGATTTTCTAAATTCTTTATCTGTTCCATGCAGCCAATCAAGCATTCCAGCAACTCCAAAATTTTCGGTAAACCTATAAAAAAAGGAAAGATTTGCAGATATTCTTTAGTCAGAAAGTTACATCAGTAACTGTAAAAAAACATTTATATAATCATCCTGTTACTCCTAATAGGTTGTGTATAAAGAGATTTAATTATCGACTGTGTCAACCTTCCTCTATCGAAAGGTACATCAAGAAATAATTTATTTAACATGTTTTATATACTAGTGAATTGGAATTTAATATTTATAGTGGTAGTTATGTCACAATGTAAGGCAATACCTTGAGTTTTGCAATCTTGGATGATATCGAGAAAATAGATATCAGAAGGATGTTCCTTTAACTAGTGATGACAATCAGCCTACTTTGTCGCATTAGGGCTAACACACGAAAACCTTTCACCGTTAGCCTTACGGCAATAATCTTTAAGTATTTGATCCATCTAAGGATATTTTATATAAATGATAATATTAGTCTCTGCAATTCGGGATTTTTTGGAATATGTCCAGGATTCCTGACTTAATCGCTATGAGAGTCATGGATCGTATTATGCACATTGAGTGTGAATTGTAAAAACTATGGAATAATATTTCTCCGAATATAATGTTGAACGACCCGAAAAATTGTGTGAAAGGAACACTTTATTTAAAATTAATTTTACATTATATATTAAAAAGCGATTTAAAGTATGTAATGAGTGAAAGGAAAGTGCTTAGAGAGGACTGAGGTGTCGGCGATGCGGTCATGTTGTTTTTGATGCTCTGATGTGATGTGGAAGAACAATTTATGCTTTTAGGAGGTCGTAGAACTTTCGGATTTTCATTGGTGTCTTTTGAGTGAGTAATACCTATTTCATACTCTTGCAATCATGTATGTTTTCTAATTCTGAGTTAACTTAAGAGTATAAGTAGATGCAAGTTAAGTTAAACGATTCTGCCCGATATAGTAGCTTTCAATTTACGTTAACATCACTGCTGAAACTAATATTTGCAATCACGCAACAATGGCTACGTATCACCACCACGGACGTGGCGGAAAGCGGCTGACCGAAAGACCTGCACGTGGCTCAACGTCGGATGAGGAATGCTCGGATTTTGAAACCAAAATGGCTAAACAGTTAGCAGACATGGAAAGAAGAATTAAAGAAGATGAAATTAAAAATAAAGAACTACTTGAGAAACTAAATCAATTGGAGCAGTTTCTCATGCCTGTGCCAAATAGGCCCGAAATACCGACAACACCAATTGATGTCATTGATATGAAAACTTATGAAGGAGGCCAACTTTTGAAACAGACGGGGAATGAGTCAACCACAGATTCAGAAAGCTCAACCAAAAATATTGCAGAACCCCCTTTAAAGAAGAAGAAAAAGAAAAATAATGTCAAAAAAGCTGAAGCAAATCTAATCATGACCACGAATAGTAAACTTTTTTCACCGATAGATACCGCCACCTCCTTACAACCATCTGAATCTATATCTGATACTGACGTAGCCCCACCCAAGGAGGATTCCAGTTCAACTGTAGATCCACCCACAACTCCAGCAAAAGTTCAACCAATTAAGCATATAAAAGTTCTTATTCGTGGTCTTCCAGTTGGATTCTGTACTGATCATATCTCCCAGCAACTGGCGAAGTCAGACATCATAACGCAAAAGATAATTCAGTTTAAGAGAAAAGTGTGCGGGACCTACAGGCTCCTCCCACTTTTTCTTACAATTCTCACAGAAACAGATGTTAATCGACAAATTTTCTCTATCACCAATATACAAAGTATCCCGGTCAGTATTGAAAGGTTCCGAGGCGGGCAAAATCCAATCCAGTGTTACAACTGCCAAGAATTTGGCCACAGTCAAAGATCATGTAATTCACCATCAAGATGTGTAAAGTGCGCCGCCAAACACCGATCATACGAGTGCCAAAAAGATAAAAATACACAACCTAAGTGCAGCAACTGCGGAGACTCTCATACAGCCAACTACACGGGGTGCAGAGCCCGTCCCCGCAGGAGGGGAACACGTGCCATACCACCAACAATAACAGGACTTGCTCAAAGGCTGGTTACAATAATTAAAGAATTGCAAGAACTTTTAAAAAATCAAGAAGTGCTTCAACTGTTTCAAAGGATTATGGGGGAAGCCACTCTTGCACAGTAACATCTTTATTTTTTTTTTACTTGATTTGAACTTTTATTTGAACTCTTATTATTATTCAGAACTCTAATTTCCCATACAGATTATAAATAAATACTGCATACTGCCCTTTCAAATTAAAGTTGAGCATACTAGATGGCGCCACTAAGGCTTGTCGAAAATTTATGTTAAATCTTCACGTTCTTGAATCACGACTTTTGTATATACATAATCATCATTTATTAATGCTCATATTCAATTTTCTGTACATATTTATGGCAATTAATGTAAATATCTTTGTTCAAGTTGTAATTTTTTCAAATCAACGTTATATTTTCTGTACATATTTTCATGGCAATTACTGTAAATATCTCTGTTCAAGTTTGTATTTTCTCTAATCATGGTAATATTTTTGTAAAGCTTCCACAACGACTGCTTATATTCAAAATGTTTTTACCTCATTGTTGTAATTTCATGATGAATGGGATAGGGGCCGCTGCGCGGCCCAGGTGCCCAGTTGTTTTTAAATAAAGTAAGTAAGTAAAAGTATGTAATTTAAATCTGAACTCTTGAAATTGAATAATCTCACACGAAACTCTCACACAACTCTCCACCATACGAGAATTATTTTCTTTCCGAAATCACCAATGTTGGCGTTTTTCCGAAGGCACCAAGAAACGCCTATTAGAATACCGCGAGTAGTTTAACAATCTGGAATGAGGTGACGAGAATTGGTTGTCATTTTCAACGCTGATATTCACTAACCGCTGAAACTGATTCATCAACAAAAACAAAAAATTGCCCTAAATAATATGTATGTTTTAGCTGTGTAATGAGGATAATTATATTTTAATTTTTATAACTATGAGAACCGTATTAACTATGGTTTTAAAATGTAAAATTCTTATCCGCTTCCGCTCTGTTAAGCCTAATTCGAATTCGTCTTAAGATTCGGTGCTACGTGGATGTTTGATTTACAAACTAATTTTATTATACGAATTGGAGTATCTATGCATTCTGAATTATTGAATTTTATCATTGAATAACAAAAATGGCGGCGGCTATTTTGCAACTAGTAGTATAAAAGAACAATGGAATGGTTAAATTCTTCCTCTAAATATTTCTTACTTAACAAAAAGACAGGCACGAAGCCTTGTGGAACATAAACAAACTAATTGGGTATAATATGAAAAAAGCACAACTACTTTCACTTACTAGGAATAACATTTACCTTTTAGTTTAATTAATAAACTGAGTTTTAAATATGCTTACTAAATTCATAAACTTCGGTAAAACAACAATATAAATTATTTCCAAAGGAACTAGACTAATACAATTCCAACCTAGCGAGTAGCGACTTATAACAAGACACTTCGTTTAATGCTTTTACTTGTTGCTAGAAATCAGGTTCGCAGAAAATGCTGTTTACTAGTTAAATTTAGTAGGAATAACACGATCTGTGACGTAGGCTTTAGTATAAACAATTATGCATCGAAGTGGCCTGGTATACAAAACAAAAATATGTCAAGGTTACTATAAAATACATAAACAAATGATAAATCTAAGTAAAGTAAAAGACATTGACGAGAAAGAATTATATTTCAACGAATTTTATGTGAGATACAGCTTTGTACTTAATTAATTTAGCGTTAGTTAATATTCTAAATTATGTAGGGAACTTAGCAGAACGTTAACACGCCATTTTGCTTATAAGCGATCAGCTGGCGCAGACGTCATGGGTGACATGTGTGGGTATCTGTGATCTTCTTCATGAAGTGTAAGTACCAATTCTATCAATTGATTGTAATTAATATTGCTGTAATACTGATTGTAATTAATATTGCTGTAAATTGCTGTATTTAATGCATTAATCATACAAGGAAATATAAGCATTAAAAAAATAATCAAGCAAAGAATCAATTGCTGTAATTAATACTATAATAGCTATATTAATAATAATAACAGCTGAATTTACTTATGATGATGATAGTGATGGAATTCGGGAGTCGGCGTGAAAGGGAGATGATATCCTGAATGGACTATTACTCCATATGATGTCGCAAAAACTAACCAAGACCACATGGAAGTCACGTGCAATTTAAAAATTACAGAGCCCAAAAAAGTTGGCAGAAGATTGGAAAGAACATGTTCCACTGGTGTGCAATAGATGGCGCTTACTCCTATCGGGGAAACCCACTCATGATGCCTTTTATGAAAACGCTTGTATAAAAGTGGGTGGTGCAAGATTCTGAAAATAAAATGAAAAATGTAGAGAAATTAGGAAATAACAAAAAATTTTAAAAACTTGCAAAAAATGTATTTTGGGCATTTTTGTTTTGCTCTACTGTTGTGATTTGCTCATAGATTAAGTGTGTTAATTAAATTTTAAAAACGCTTAAAAATGAAAATTAAATAATTAAAAAGGCAAAATAAAATGAAAATTGTAATAAAAATTTAATTTTTTTTACGATTGCGAGTGCCGTTTCAGACTTTTATCAATAAACAAATTTGTCTTACAGTTAGTTTCAGTTTCTGCACTTAAAGTAAATAGTTTTTATTCATTGGTTTTCTAAAATCGTCTTGATAAACTTGAGCAAGGCAGATGTTAAAAGCGATGAACTAGATCATAAATTAAAAGCGATGAACTAGATCATTTATTTGAAAACGATAATAAATTAAAAATTAAAAAGCGATAACCATTGATCTAGTTACGTAACTGATGTTTTTTCTGATTTGTTCTTTGGTATGATGTTCTTTTTTGTTTTGCTTTGTTATGTTTAAAAGTAATTAAAAGTTGTTAAGTTTTTTAACCCTGTTTTTTCCCTTCCTTTTCCTAAAATAGAGTTGTGTTACAGTTCTAGTTTTGTGCTTTAACAGCATAGTTCATGTCACTTTAAATTGTATACAAATATTAAAAAATATTTTTAGGGAAATAATAAAAGTGTATTTCACCTGTGTGAGTAATAGAAAAAGACTTCTTCTGTCAATATTTGTAGGATGAAATCGAAAACGAAACGATGTAGTTTAGGGAAAACATATCCTTTGTTGCAGCCAGTGATGCTTTTGAGCATATAACAGAAATATATTACAGGAACAGCAATGACTGTTTGGTTGAATAAAACTTGAAACGCGACGTGCCGTAAGCGTTGCGGAGACGTCCTCTGAAAAATAAGAAAGAAAATAAGCAATAAAACTTTTCACTACCAGGCGATGCTTGTGAGGGTATGATTTGAAAAATGTCATGAAATAATTATAAGAATAAATTTAATATTACATACATATTTAGAGTGTCACAAAAAGACATGAAAATTTAATTCAATATTAAATATTTATTCAATGTCGCAATTTTTTGTTTCATTTAATTTATAGTACAGGAGTTCCCATAGCGTATGTTGTGGCACTTATGGTTTGGGTAGGTAGGTGCTTTATTTACGTCGCACTAGAGATGCACAATGGGCTATCGGCGACGGTCTGGGAAACATCCCTGAGGATGATCCAGAAACATGCCATCATTTACAGAGGGGAACTCAGTTGTGAGGCCTCAATTTAGATATAGCACTGAAGGGGAAGGAAACTTTCTCCAAATTCCTGTATTCATGGTGCTGCTCAGAGACCGACCTCAGGGCTTCCGATTCCGCAGATTTTACGAACACGTAAGTCATACGTAATCGGTGGGTCCTAGAGGAATCGAGGATCGAACCGCTGTTTCTTCGGACTGAAGTTTAACCACTGAGCTACAAAGTTTAGAGTATATAGGACTGGGTCACCACGGTTTCCTCTTGGGTTGGGAGTGAGAGAAATGGTTCCACGAGATGTTTCCAAGTCAAATATGAACAGTTTAGGGCTGTGTTTTGTACACTGTAAAACCTGTGGTGTAATATCTATCTGAATTTGATGCTTAACAAGCTTGAAGGAACACATTTGTTTCTTCAAGTTAATACCAAATCGAGCGACCATATGCAATTTAATGAAAGCTTGAAACACCGAAAATGCTAAATGTTTACACCGAGAATGACATAATACGTTAAATATTTTCGCTTCCAAAAGCATCAAACTTCACCCGAAAAATGTAGCGCGGCCAACTTCATGTTGTTTTTCATCTGCAAAAACTAGTGCTCACCGTTAAATATATGTAGGAATGTTTATGATTGCGTAATTAGGATATTTATATTTTAATTTTGAAGTCTCCTTAAATTGTATTAAATAATTTTAAAATAAATAATTAATATCCACTTTTGCTGAAGCCTTGTTTGAATTAGTCTTAATATTCTCTCTGCTACGCGTACGTCTGATTTACAAACTCATTTTAGGAATTAGTGTATCTATGCAATCAAAATTTCTGCTTCTTACTTGATATTGTCTCTAAAATAATTTTACTGATTCTCATGTGTATCATATCATACTGTAATTATAATTATATATAATCGTCGTTGAACAGTCGACTAAATTTTGAGTTTACGACTACCAACTCCACAGTCTTGCAATTTTGAACCCAATCCGAAGACAAGGGAACTCCTGGATCAAGTATTGGGAGAAATTTTGCATTCATGGAGGACTTTTTGATGGAACTAACCCGCATTTGCGTTACATGGAGAGGAAGATCACGAAAAATTAAAAAGCGGCAGAGGGACTCTAACCCGTGATCCGTCTGCCTGACGATATTTCACGTCAGCACTGTGGTCGGTGCAAGTCGGATGTGGATTTGTATCGACCAGCTATTGGTGGTATTGGAACCCGGTTCACCTCATTGGAAGGCGAATGCTCTATCCCCTGAGCCATCACGGCTCTGGATCAAGTATTGGGAGAAATTTGCCTTCGTGAAAGAGTTTTAACATGGAACTCACCAGAATTTGCGTTATATGGGAAAGAAAATCATGAAAAAAGTCCATTGACAGCCTGAAGGTAAGGGGACTATAACCTCTCATCCGTCTACCACTGAGGAGTTTTTACGTCAGAGCTGTGGTTGAGAGTCGGATGCGGAATTCGTGTCGAAAAGCTATCGCTGGGATTCGAACCTGGGTAACGTCATTGGGAATGAATTAGAGCCACCATGGCTCTAATTTTGCCTTTTAGTGTTACTTATTGACGAATATGGTGGTTGGTGGTGTCCATTTTACACCAAGTAGCGTAAAAAACATTCTAGGTGCTTCACAGCGCCGGGAACTGTCCTTTAGTTTTGGTGTAATAGAACACCACTTTGATGTAGAGTAGTTTTTACCATTTTTGGTGCTCACATACACCAAATTTTTTTGCAGTTTTGTCGTTACATGAAATAAAAAATTTTAGACTGCTGGCGAATATTATATGATTGGGGTGCCACGAGATAATTATAAATCTCATAATGGTTGAGCTCCATCTCGGAAAAGTTAGGAACACCTGATGTAGTAGATATATTGCATTTAAGCATGTTGTTGTTGTTAATTTACGTCGCACTAGAGCTGCACAATGGGCTATTGGCGACGGTCTGGGAAACATCCCTGAGGATGATCCGAAGACATGCCATCGCAATTTTGATCCTCTGCAGAGGGGATGGCACCCCTGTTTCGGTAGCCCGACGACCTGCACGTGAAGTCGAGCACTTTACGGTAGAACAGTTTACGAGGACCCATACCGCACACCCTCGGTCTCTACGCACGCTGATCCAAGTGGTCACCCACCCGCAAACTGACCGTAGCCAGTGATGCTTGACTTCGGTGATCTGCTGGGAACCGCGTCTTAACGATCAGTCCACTGCGGGACGCATTTAAGCATGTAAAAAAACATCTCGTATATGTATTAGTTTTAGTTTGTTTTCCTTCCATTTTTGTTGGATGCACCATTGAACCATTTTTCTTCAATTCCTCAATCGAGTAATCTCCTGTTTGGTGGTCAAAAGGTAGCAGCTTAGTACAATCGAATGGATGCTTTTAGACTTTTCGAGAATTTTTCCAATTTTCTGCTAAGAAGCCCGCAGCCAACCAAGTCTTAAGAGGCCTCTCCTCTCACGATATAACTCAGCTGGTGGAGGAGAGAAGACGGGAAACCTCTAAATATGCTTTTAATCCTCTTTATTTAACAGTTACAAATACACTGGTGATGGATATTTGCTCTATTTTTGCAGTATTTTTCGATGCAAGTGGAATATAAAAACACAATTTGAGGTATGAAGCTGGAGGAATTTTAGATTTTCTATTAATTTCTTTCCCGGCTAAATTATTCTAATATAATTCTGCAATCAATGAGTTTTGATAGGTAGTTAAATAGTATACAGTTCTCTGTTTTTAGATTCTTGATTAAAAATTTTGTTTCTATGCTTTTAACGTTAAAGGAATTCTCCAGCATCATCCAAATCGACTTTCATCTGTTTAAACTGTAATACAATTAGATTTTTTAAAAAATCTAAAAACGGAGAAACGTGTAGTTTTAAATTAACCAAAACACGAATCCCATCATTTTATTGCTTTAAAGTTCGAGAAAAAAGTTATGGAAGTTCTAAAAATAATACGCTTTTTTTCTGAAACTAATAAAACAACCACCCTGATTTTCTACCTTTTTTAAAAGGTATTAAGTTGTACTAGTGGACTGCGCCCCCTGCTCGCTAACTCTCGCCAACCCCCGAAAACTGCTACTAAATCTTATATGGTTTGCTTCGCAAACCAATCTCGTTTCGCTCGCTACTAACTTAGGTAGGTTGCAAATGCACAAAATTGTAAGAATTCAAAACAATCATTCAAACCCATATAACAACTTTATTTTTAATTACACCTTATTAGTAAATACTAAGTCATTAAAATAAATTTGAATTCAAATAAATGACATGTAATTCGTTAAACCTATTAGAAATGTGCTATAGTATTAAATCTTAAAGCGTAACAGCACGACTGAGACTCATTTTTCAATGAATAACTAATAACAGCAATAATAAACCAAATAAATTCGTGATATAAATCAAAAATCGCCAAATAAATTCATAATATATAAATTAGTGAAGAAAAAAATGCTCTAGACAAAATACTAAAATAGAGATCTATCGACAAAGACTACTCACTTCTGCCTAGCTTAATAGTATGATATTGCGGCAGATGAGAATGCTCTCTCTGATTATTTCAGTTTCCGTTTTTAAAAACGCTATATGTCGAGCCACCTGAGCTGGATTTGGCATGTGACATTTTTAGCGGCAATTATTAGTTGATTTTCTAGCGTTGCCATTCGGAGAGTTGTAATGAGGCTTTTTTTTTGTCGCCGTGTAAGAGAAATATATCTATAGATATTATCATCAAAAGTTGGTTAAGAACAAAAAAAAAAAAAAAAAAATGGCGAGAAAAACACAAATTAAATATTTGATCTAAAATCCAAGATGGTGAGAGTAGAGGCCTCTTCAATCAGAATATTTGACTATATATAACGGAAGTGAAGCCTCGGGGGGCATTTTCTAGACATGTTGTTTGAATTTAGTATTAACATGATCAGGTAAAAGTTTCCATATAAAATAAAACAAAAAATTGTGTTTAATTTGAAATTCAAGATTCTTATTAGTATTGAGACCTCTGCATTTGCACATGGAAAGTTTAATTTTGAAAACTAACAACATCCTAACCAATTTAAGTAATAAAAAAAGAAATTTCACATAATTGACAAATCTCATTCATTTAATAGACAATTTTCAAATATAGCTAGATAAATTAATTTTGTTATTATTCAAAATTTTGTTTTACGAGCATTTTTGTTGCTTGTATAGTAAGCATGGAAGCTTTTATTTATTCAAAATTACTTTATTTCTTATTTCCGTTTTGTGTATTAGGATTCACTCAAATTTTGTTTAATGATGAAATATAGTGCTGGGGAAAATATATATCATAAATATCTCGTCAAAATAAGCTTACATTTAAATAAAAACTCAATTAAAATGATATATAACGCGAGATGCATTCTTAATAGAAACATCATATAGATATAAATATCATATAGATATAAATATTATATAGATTGAGGAAAAAGTACAGTTAAAACTACGAGAATATGGTGAAATTTACCTTGTTTCTGGCTCTATGGAAACACCAAAAAACACGCTAATTATTACAGAAGCGAAATAGTAATGATTTTGGTAGAATTATCTATAAAATATTATTCTATAATTTGTGTTAAAATTTTGTAATGATTTGTGTAATAATTTTTGAAAGCTGTATTAAATTTGTATTTAACCAATAATCCATTATTTGTTTAATAATTAGGTTATTATTATTTAATTATTGAAGTAAAATGCCAATAAAAAAGAACTAGCAGATTTTAAACTATATATTTATATATTTTTCCAATAACAATATTTTGAAGAAATTATTGGAAGGATGCGTATTTTTAAAAAAAAGCCATTCTTCGCAAGAAATGTTTCTAAATCAATTAAAAGTTTTTTTTAATTATAATATTCGTACCTGCTAATTAACTTTCTTTAAGTCAGGGTTCCGCCTTGAGATGTTGGATTATATAGGGTTCCGTAGATAAATAAATTGGGAATCACAGCAATTTATAAAAACCATTTATTCTGTTAAATTTACTTTTCAATTTTGTATTATAAAGAAGTACTATAATTAGAACTACAATTAATTACAACTATTAAGAACTATAATTTTAAAAATCAGAATTTCCGGTAAACCTTTAAACGGTTTACCGGAAATTCTTATCGGAAAAATACCAAATGAGTGGTTTAAATACCGTAATATTTTGATGTTATGACAAAAAATATCTTTTATTATACAGTCCGGTTTTACCAGAATTTTTTTATCCCTGCAGAATTTTTTTTCCACCGTGTTTCTCTGTGAAAATTTTTTTTTAATCCTCATAAAGATCTTGTACAAGCGGCATTATTAGTAGAGCTATTCAATCGAAGTATTTAAATTTTTTCATACATATACTTCGTTTTTTAAAAAACTATTGTATCAATAAGGGTCTTAACTAAAATCTTATAATTTAATAGTTTTTTAAAAAGTTCCTTTATTTTTTTTTTTGAGATATAGTTTTTTAAAAGTATAGTTTGTCTTATTTATGAATCTCAAAACGTTATTCAGTATTCTTTTTCAAAAGAAATAACGACAGATTTTTCTGATACAAATTTGATCCCTAATAAATAACAAATCGTTATTCATAACTTTAATGGTTTGGAAATTTTTTTAGGCAAATTTGTCTATCGCAAACTTTTATTATTCAATACGTTAATGGATCTTAAAGTGTTCTTGACATTTATTTGCTGCTATGCTTCTAAACTTTTCTTGTTCTTTGCTTGAATAAATGATATAATAAGATTGGTTTTTTGAATGATGAAAGATACTTTTGAAGACTCAATTTGTTTATGGAAGCAGCAGACTTTAATACATTTTGACAGTTTGAAAGTTATTGAGAAAGTAAACTAGTGTGGAAGCAATTTTGTTTTTACGCTTCCGGAAAATCTCCCTTCAAATGAAAAACATAATTCGTGAAGGTAAAATCTGAGAAAAATAAACTTTTTCAATTGACAATTTGTTAAAAATAAACTGCAGTATGATAATAATCCAGAGTTCCATAAATATAGTTTTTTTTGCATATCAGAGTAGTAACATTAAATTGTTGGAAAAAGCAATGCGTGAAAGAAAGAGATAATTGTTTTTGAATATACAGTAAAAAAGAATTCAGAATGTTCATGGAAAATTAATGAGCAGTTGATGCGATGTAATGTATACCAGAAACATTCTTTGCAAGAAATGGGAAACTTAAAAATTTAGAAACTTTTTCACTGAAAGAGCGTTTATATTGTTGCTACATACACATAGTGTTTCATAAAATTATAGCGAGCCTAATTTAATTAAATTTTGATTAATTAAAATACTTTTATTGACTTTTTTTCATTTAAAGCATTGCCCAGCAGTGGACTGATAGTTAAGACACGGTTCCCAGCAGATCACCGAAGTCAAGCATCCCTGGCTGCGGTCAGTGTGCGGGTGGGTGACCACTTGGATCAGTCTGCGTAGGGACCGAGGGTGTGCGGTATTGGTCCTCGTTAAACTGTGCTACCGTAAAGTGCTGGACTTCGCGCGCAGGTCGTCGGGCTACCGAAGCGGGGGTGTCATCCCCTCAGCAGAGGATCAAAATTGTGATGGCATGTCTTCGGATCATCCTCCGGGATGCTTCCCAGACCGTCGCCAATATCCCATTGTGCAGCTCTAGTGCGACGTAAATTAACAACAACATCATTTAAAGCATTAAATGAACTATCATGAGCTGTGATAGCTCAGGGTATAAAGCGTTCGCCTTCCAATGAGGTGAACCGGGTTCGAATCCCAGCGATACGGATTCCACACCTGGCTCACACCAACCACAAAAAATATCCTCAGTTTTAGACTGATTATGAGTTAAAGTCCCCTTGCCGTCAGGCTAAACGTAGGATGTTTTCCTCTTGGTGTAATTCAAATGTGGGTTAGTTCCATCAAAAAGTCCTCCACGAAGGCAAATTTCTCCCAATACAGGTGTTCCCTTGTCTTCTGGATTGGGTTCGAAATTACAAGGCTAAGGAGTTGAACCTTAGGTGTCGTAAATCCAAAAGATTGGATTGGAAGATTGGATTCAGCGACTGTTATAACATAATATAAAATGAACTATCATGGACTATTTATAACAATTAATATAATATACTATTTATAACTATATAATGTCACACTTGTATAAATAAAAGAGACATTTACATTAATAATTATGTGTTCTGAAATTATATTTTTCATGCATTAAACCCAAATAAATTTTAAGTTACAAATCCGACTAACATGTGGTTTGTCAGATTCGGTTAAGCATAATAGAAAACATTATTTAGTAATCTCTAAATTACCTTCATAACAAATGTGGTACCTTTATACTTTATGTCTCAGTAATTTTGAATTATATCTTAGTAAATCATATTTAAAATCAGTGTAGTGAATCATTATTTTTTATTATTATAATCATTCAGTTGTAGTGAATCATTATTTATTATCATTATAATCATTCAGTTGTAGTAAATCATTATTTTTTATTATTATAATCATTCAGTTGTAGTGAATCATTATTTATTATCATTATAATCATTCATTTGTAGTGAATCATTATTTATTATCATTATAATTATTCAGTTGTAGTGAATCATTATTTATTATCATTATAATCATTCAGTTGTAGTAAATCATTATTAAAATTACCCAATTTTTCTGAAAAAATTCATGTTCGATATAAATAACAGCCATTTCATGTTACAGTAGAAGCAATTTATTTAGCAAACAATCATGATTATTGCTACTGATACTTCGAGTTTTATGCATATTTGTTACGTATTATTGCATAAATATTAATTAAATACAAAATCGTTTCCCTCTTAAACTATATTTATTCGTCTGAAATATTATAGCTTTATTTAAATCAATGTGATACTTGAAAATACTGTATTTAGCTTTATTATCGAGACGTATATTTGAAAATATATAAAAACTTCACTTACCGGGTAGTTTGTTCCATTTTTATCAGGTATTTTGAATTTTGTAATGAAATTCGGTTTTCCTTTCATGTCAACAAATGAGAAGAATAAACTTGTTGACCAGTAAGTAATCAGCATGATGATCAAAGGTACTAAATAGGAGGAAAAAAATGTAATCCATTCTACAAGGTATTTAATTTACTGGTTTATTAGAAACGAACATATTCTAATTGAAAAGAGCTAAACATCAGAAAATTCAGCATTATTAAAAGGGTAAATTCACAGCGAAAAAATTATGGTCAAAACTACAAGAATATTTCAAAATTTACTGTTACTCTATGAGAACATCAAAGAATTAATTTATCTCAAAGAATTAATTCATTAATTATCATCAAAGAATTAATAATCTTTCCGAAGCGCCTTGGTAATGATTTTGCCAAATTTAAAAATAAAATATCTTTTTATATGATGTGATAAAATTATGTAAATTTAGTAAAAATTCTTTCATGATGGCATATAAACTATTTATTTGATTTAATTTACTTTTCAGTTTTGTATTTTTCGTTATTACATGTGTGGGGTAATAAGAATCCCAATATTGAAAGACAGAATTTTTGGTAAACCGTTACCATAGGAACGGAAATAATTATCGAATTAATGGTTTAAAAACTATATATTTTGGTTTTATTAAACAGAATTATGATTCTCTAAACCAGAAATGTCACTGCCATACAGTATTCATATTTCACCAGAATTTTTTTCTTCGAGTAAAATCAGTATAAGAATTCGAAATTCAGTCTAATAATTTTATTGATGCAATTTGACAGATCATTTTCAACTTTTTTTTTTCAAATATGGCTCTTAAAAAGGTCTTGGAGGCTATAATTTCATAGAGAGAACATCAGTGTACATTTTTTACTACATTCCATAATGCGTCCTAAATTTATTTTAGAATTCGGAATTTCTAACAGAATTTTATCATAAGCACATACATTATTTAACTGTAAGCACTTGTCTGATACTTGGCAAGTATGGTAAAAGTTATAAAAACCATGTTAATGACATGAAACAATTTTTAATAGGCAGTCAAATAAGCACTTTTTGAAACCATACGAGCTTAAGGGGACACTGGTCGCTCAAAACAAAAAAGTGCAATTTTTATTCGATAACGTTCAAATTTTAACAGAATACTGGTAGCATTAATAGAAGTCTGTGTACAAATCTTTAGAAAAAAAATAATTACTTTTAAAACTATAACTAAAAGCAGGAATTTTAATTGCAGATAAATAAAAAATACCTTGCTAACGAATTTTATTTATTTTCATTAAATTTTTACCCATATGTAACCATATATAGGAAAAAATTTAACGAAAAAATTATTATTATTAATTATTGTTATTAATATTATAAGAACTTAAATAAAGTACAGTGGTTTTGTAACCGTACGAAAACAATGAACGTAGGTATTAATTTTTTTTGTCACCAAACTTTTCTTTTCTTAATCATATTTGGCAACTAATAAAAAAAAAAGTCCAATTTGAATATCTTAAAAATTTAAAAAGTTTCAAGCGATTTTATAAGTAGTTTTTGTATTGTTTTAAGAGAATGCTCAAAATGATAAGGGATTATCCACATATTTCATTTCGTACTCATGAATGAAATTTATTAAAAATGATCCCGGAATTGTTGGAGATTATCCACCATATAAGTATCTTTTTCTCCCTGCTTTCTTTCATTATTAAATCACAGTTTGGGGTATTACCTTTATTGTAAGTTATTATCATTTGTTATTAGATTCTGTCTAATGATATAAAATAATATTTGTAGAAAACCCGATAGTATTTTGAGATTTCTTTTAAAAGGTACGAAAACTATTTTGAAAATTGCTTGAAACAATTTAAATTTCTAAGATATTCAAATCGGACTTTTCTCATAAGTTGCCAAATATGATTCACTACAAAATTAAGAAAAAATTATTTTTAATTTTCCTCGCGCTTGCTCTGCATAAAAAAACTAGTTTATTTACTCATATCTTGTGCTGCTTTAATCCAATTTTTCTCAAATTTTAAAGAAAATTTTTTTAAATTAATTTTAAATTGCTCTAAAAATTTTGTAATTAATTTTAAATTGCTCTAAAAATTTTATTGAATAATTTTAAAGCTACGGCAAAAAACTTGCTTAAGTTATAGCAAGTTATAGCCAAAGTTACAGCAAAAAATTAACATTTTATAAAAATGTTCAGTTTTCCATAAACATTCAAATTTTGTGTAATTATTGCATAGAATAACCAAAACAACTGTCACAAGTTACAAATCTTTTGCTACATTTCTTGGAATAGGGTATTCAAAAACATTATTTTCCGTTTATAATTTATGGTTGGTCCCTCAAACATATAAAAGTTTTAAACTTAATTGATATGTATGAGAAATCGCATATAGAGAGATGATTATTGTGCTGCTTTAATCCAAGTTTTCTCAAATTTCAAAGAAAAAATTTTGTAATTAATTTTAAATTGCTTTAAAAATTTTGTTTAATTTTATTGAATATTTTTAAAGTTATAGCAAAACACTTGTTAAAGTTATAGCAAGTTGTAGCAAAATTTATAGCAAAAAATTAACATTTTATAAAAATGTTCAGTTTTCCATAAACATTCAAATTTTGTGTAATTATTGCATAGAATAACCAAAACAACTGTCACAAGTTACAAATCTATTGCTACATTTTTTGGAATAAGGTGTTCAAAAACATTATTTTCCGTTTATAATTTATGGTTGGTCCCTCAAACATATAAAAGTTTTAAACTTTATTGATATGTATGAGAAATCGCATATAGAGAGATGATTAATGTGCTGCTTTAATCCAATTTTTCTCAAATTTCAAAGAAAAAATTTTGTAATTAATTTTAAATTGCTCTAAAAAGTTTGTTTAATTTTATTGAATATTTTTAAAGTTATAGCAAAAAACTTGATAAAGTTATAGCAAGTTGTAGCAAAATTTATAGCAAAAAATTAACATTTTATATAAATGTTCAGTTTTCCATAAACATTCAAATTTTGTGTAATTAATGCATAGAATAACCAAAACAACTGTCACAAGTTACAAATCTATTGCTACATTTTTTGGAATAGGGTGTTCAAAAACATTATTTTCCGTTAATAATTTATGGTTGGTCCCTCAAACATATAAAAGTTTTAAACTTAATTGATATGTATGAAAAATCGCATTTTGAGAGATGATTTATCTTTAGAGACATAAAATAAATATTTTAAAATATTAAATATAAGGCAAACATGTTTTTCAGGAAATTTATATTTTTTATTCAGCTTTAAAATATATTAAAGAAATTCATGATTCAATGTCTCTATTCCTATTGTCAAAACCGTCTTAAAGGAGCGTTTTAAAAGTTAATTTAAAATTTTCAAAGAATTCGTAGAAAGGAAAATTATCTTTTCCTTAATCTTCACTTTCATTTGTAATTAAATTTATATATTACGTTTAACCTTTTAAACAAATGCCAACTTTTATTATTTGAAGATAAATTTTATCAACATATTTAATTCTTTAAACGATTATATGAAAAATGAATTCTTGACATTCAATTTTGAATCTTCATTTTGGAATTATGCTATATTTTTTTATAATTTATTTAATTTATCCATGTATGGTATACATTAAAATTACAATGGAAAACAAATTGTTTGTTTCACTTATGCATAGATTACTGCCTAATTCTGGAGAATTCTGGGGATTTCAAATTCTAAATAAGTCTTGTTCCTATCGCTACAGGTTTTTCTTAAATGATAATTTTACTTTATTATTTGTCAAAATAGGCAAATTTAGAAACATCACATATAAGACTGGATCGCATAAATGTTGCGACGTAATGTTAACAAGGTAAATTTTATCACATTCTGGTAACATTGATGAAACTTTCTTTTTTTTCCATGATCCTTGAGCCCGGTTTTCTTTCAAAATAAAATTCAGCTACATTATTCCAAGTGGATCAATGTAGATGTGGTGTTGCAATTGAACCTATGTAAATTTGGTGTGTTTAATTTAGTGTGGATTTAGTGTGAATATAGTATAAATTTAGTGTGTTTATAATTTGCACCGTTACCTGGTCTTACCTAGAAACGTACTAAAGTTGCTGCTAATGTCCACGGTATTGAGTACAGCGTTCTCTAATAGTCATAAAGCTGTAAAATTATTCTTATTAATCTACCCAATACACTCTTAGAAATATAGCTCTCACTGTTGACGATTCACCAATCCTTGAGCAGTATTTCGTTAATTTTGAGACTTATTTCGTCCCGAAATCCTGTGATTTGTAGTGAAACGTGAACTCTCAAACGTAAGAGGAATTTTGTTTTCTCAACAGTGCATTGTTGGAAATCGTTACCTAGAATGAAGTGACTAACATGAAGACTAGACTAAACTATAGAAAATAAAGTGACGAAATAAGCCGAACGCCTTCTATGGTTGTCAAAGAGTAAGCTTCGAAACCAGGAAGATTCAGGGTTCGAATTCCCCTATGGGCATAGGTGTAAATTATCTCTCTGTTCAAACTGTCCTTCTTATGTTGTTGGGGCAACATTTATCCACTTATATGGTATCCATGATGAAGTTGTAATTGTAAAAGTTCGATGCATTAGGCACACCGGTTTTTTTTCCGCAGAAAAATAAATAAACTAAATATTTCTTTAATTTTGACGAGCTTCTACGAAGAAGTGACGATAGTTATTTCATCACTTTGACGAAATTTTTGCCCTGAGCATTTCGTGATATTTGAGTATCGATTTTTTATAGTATTATAAAGTTTAAGTAGCCACCATATTATGGTTAAAGAAAATTACAATATTAAGGTTCAGCGAGCCCTAATATTTAATTGTATCAGTGTATTTAATAACTCTTTCTACAAATAAACCTTAATTCGAGAAATTTACCAGCATTTCAATTCAAATCTATTCCCAAAATAATTATGAGTTAAATGTTTAATCTTACGCCTCTGCTGCAATCTAAATGTTCTTGCTTTTATCAGTCCTGAACGGATAGATTAAAACATATGCATCTGCACCTAGAAGATGATGGATATGAAATGCTAATGAGGGATTTTAATTAAATTGTTGAAATCTTTCAATCTTTTGGAAACTACGACTTTTGAGGTTAAGACAGGTAGTATGATTTAAAAGCATAATTGATTATACGGAATGCCATTAATCATGCATTGCACTGCATAGATCCCATGCGAATATATCTGAGATTAGTAGTTCATGGTTTCAAACTAAATCAAAGTTAAATCTGTCAGTTGTTTTAGAATCTTTATCAAATTGTTTTGCTAATTTGGAATTAAAACGGAATATTTCATTTTGTTTCTAAAAAGGGTTATGATTATTTATAACTTTTGTTTGTTATTATTTGTTCGACATTTCTTTATTTTTTGAGAGTGTTGATAATTTTAGGAAAGCTAAGCAACTCTTAAAAAAGTAGATCGTATTACCATACAAACATAAAAACAATGGTTTTGGTTTCGTAATGAAGAACCATCTTTAGACTGCAGACACGGAATAAATGAAGAGAATACAAGGGTGCAGAAGAAATGACGTTAACAAACAAGTTACAAGAAGGAAAAAAAAAGGTTTAACCAATAAGGGAACGGGAAAAAGCTTGAACAAAGTAAGGGAGAAAAAAAAAGTGCGACAAAGATGGTTTAGAATCTTAAATGCTGCAAGAAGTAGATATGAAAAGAAAGTGGATTTTTACATTAGAAAAAAGTGGCATACTAAAAAAGTCGTAAACTAAATTATTTGTATTGTCTAAGAAAAAAAAATTATTCCCATAAATCCAGGTCAAAATTTCTAAAAATCTATTCTTTTGATGAAGTATGTCGGTTTATGTGGTATCATTTCTGCTTTTTACTCGCTTTATTTACAAAAATTTTAAAATTCACTTTCTCTCCGAAGTCGCAATTGCAATTTGCTTTACACTCCTGTCCTTGTTGTTACTTCTGCTACTTACCAATACTAGCAAGCATGCGAATTTTCAAGGCAGAGGGTGATTTTCTAATTTTTTTAGTGGCGCCATCTATGATCAAGAATATGAACTCCAGTCCAATCCTACTCTATTCTTTCATCCACAGATCGTAATTTTGATTTGAACCGGAGGACGATCAATCTCAGATTCAGGATATCAAAGGTATTGTTAATTGTTATGGGAACTTGAAGGACTTTGTGACCCCGACAGATTTAACGTGCACCAGTCACCATTCAATACATGGGGATTCTTCGGTCGGCGGGATTCGAACTCACGTTCTCGTGAACACGAGCTCAACGCCCTAACATCCAGGCTATCCCGGGTCTAAGAAATACAAAAAATTTCGCGAAAGCTCAAAAGCCATCAATACAACTAAAAATTTTTATTATTATTTTTACATTTTATTATAACTTGAAGATGGAGAGGGTGGTTTCTAGATTTTTTTTCAACCATATACTTAAAAATGTCTTTCTCATATGCTGTAACAAAGATACCCCATGTACTGCGAAAGGCATAAATGAATAGGTTAATCATCATTTAGCAGATATTTTAAAGAAATTGGATTCGAATTTCAAATTTCCGAAACTTTGTTCTGAAATGCTTTTTGAGATAAGCAGACATTTTGAATACATTAAATGCATAATGAATCGTACTTCAAACTTACCAATTTTGTATAAAGATTTAATTTTTAAAAAATGAGAATTTTTCTTTAAAATTTTCCTTTAAAATAGTAAATTATACATACTTAAAACATGCAATGCCACATCATTTTCATTGCTCAAGTCGTAAATAGGGCGCCATTGTTCATTCGGCAGTGATTCAATGAATTTCCAGGTTTCCATGACAGCCAAAAACACACTGGTACACTCAATATTCGAACAAGCTGTTTTTGTGTATCTTATCTGTTTTCAAAGACATGCATTTCTACATGTAAAACATGCATTTTCATGAAACAAGCACACCTAAAAAAAAAATTACATTTTTGAATGTAAGTGCCCATAAAAGCTCAACTCTACTATCTGTCTTTTCAAATTGCTTCAGCATAGTTACAAAAGTGGTATCTAGGTACATTAAAGTGGTCTTCTGATAAAAGAAAAGGTATTTAAAAGCTCCACCTGGTGGAAAGGAGTGTGAAAACAATGGATATATAAGGAAATATAAATTATAAAGTTGTGTGGCCTCATCGATTTAATACCAATAGATATTTCTTAAAAAGGACATTTAAGCGCTTATTTTGTTTGTTTGCGATTTCGTAAAGTATAGCGTAACAAAATTATTTTTTATTAAAAGAAAGAAAGAAAAGTTAACAAATGATGCTTTTTTTACTAAGCTTAAAAGAAGTGTGAACTTTACTATATCTAGATACCAACTATGTTGTCTTAGGGGATAAAGCAATAACCTCCATATGAGATGAACCGGGTTCGAATCTCAGCGATGGTTTGTCAATACGAATATCACACCCGACTCGCACTGACCACAATGTTGTCGTAAAATGTCCTCAGTGGTAGACAGATCACGCGTTAGAGGCCCCTTGCCAGCAGGCTAACCGTGGGAGCTTTTCGTGGTTTTCCTCTCCATGTGACACAAACAAATGCGGTTCAGTTCCATAAGAAAACCTACTTCAATGGCAAATTTCTTCCAGTACTCGATCCAGGAAATTCTTTGTCATCTGGATAAGGTTCAAAATTACAAGGCTAAGGAGTTGAACATTGGTAGTGGTAAAATCAAAATTGGGTCAGCTGTTCAACGGCGATTATAAAGTAAGACGATAATATATTATATAAAATAACAACTAGAAGATTTTTTTTATAATAATAGCTGCCTAGGTTCAAAAGCTTGTGCAGTGGAAACGGGTTGTAATAAAGTCAATATTATAAAGGTTAAAAGATGAAAGTATGAACAATAGCTTATTTTGTGTACCTTTCCATAAAGAATCATTTATTTCCAATGAAAAACGTCAACATCGTACAGTTTTTAAATTTCATATGTCTTTATTTAGGTACAAATTTCAAAAGTCGAACAAATGGTAATTAAACAAATGGAAAAAACAGGAAAAAAAATAAGCTTTTCCTATTTTTATCAAAAAAATCTTTTTTTGGAACAGATACAATTTTGTAACAGGTACAAATTACCTGTTACAGTAGTAAATATCGCTAATTTCTAAAGTCCAGTTATTGAGAATGTGCTGTACGGAAAGAAGTAAGCAACAAACACGCAATCGATATCAAGATCTAATTACGTTAAATCATTCATATTTGCCTCGTACATCTGGCTGAATAATTAAAATGTTTTTTTTTCTATGGAAGCGAAAACAATATCACGGAGAAACGAGAAGACATTTTCTAAACCACTATTAAATTGTTGCGCTTTTTTCCACGGATGAGACTAACTATAATATTCAAGCTGCGATCGATGCAAGCCTGCTAAAATTAATTAAATCTTTGAATGTCAAATTTTTTCCCAACACGCCTCACAGCCTTATTAATTTTTCAAGCATGTCTAATATTGCCTTTTAAGGGATGATGTTTGAAGGGTGAATGTAGAGATAATTTGGGTACAGTTGATGCATGTAAAATTTAATTTATTTACGTCGCTAGACAGCTTAGATGGTGATGTTTTAGTAAATTTAGTTTTAGAAGAATATGTTCTTCATTGTTTACAAATACATAAATATTTTTAGAGTGAAATAACTTCATTCGAGAACGATTTTTTTTAGAATATTTCTTGAGAACTAGAATATAAAATAGAAGAGCAGAACTAGGAAATGGGATGGAAAAGTAAAAGTAGAATAGAGTTATTGTTTCTTAATTTCTTATGTTGCGAGAGAAATTGTTTTAGATAATTTGGATTTAGTTGTTGCATATGAAATTTAATTTATTATCATTGCTACGCAACTTATTTAAGACGACATTTTTATTTGAACGAGAATTTTATTTAAAGAGAAAGTCGTAAAAAATTTAGAGGAAAATAGCATTCCATATGAGCAATTTTTTCATTCAAGTGAATGTTTTTAGTGAAATCGAATATAACAAAGGTAGAACTAATAAATGGAATTAAAAAGTAAAACTAGTGTTGAATAAAATTATTGTTTCGTTATTTCTTAAGGTGCAAAAATGTTTTTGGTAGTTTTTTTGAGTTGATGCATGTAAAATTTAATTTTTTATCGTCATGATATCACATATTTTGTTGTTTTACTACATTTTAACTAACAAAAAAATGCTTCCCATACTTATTAAGAAGTAAATATTTTAGCATCACACGACACAATTTTTCAGTCAAGCAAATAGTCTTTGAAAGTTAAAATAAGAAGAACTAAAATATATAATAGAAAAGTAAAACTGGAATAGAACAGAGTTAATAATTCACAATTTCTGACGTTTCAAAAAAAATTGTTTTAGGTAATTTGGACTTAGCTGATACACGTGAAATTAAATTTATTTTCGTTGCTTGACAGCTTATATGGGTGCGTCTTATAGAATTTATTTTACTAAAGAATGTTCTTATTGCATAGTTTGCAAATATATAAATAATTTCAGAGTAAATTGCGTTAGCACGAGAATAATCTTTTTAGAATATTGCTTCAGAACTAGAATATAGAAAAGTAGGACCAGAAAATATAATGGAAAAATAAAGCTAGAAAATAATAGAATTATTTTTCCGTAATTTCTTATTTTGCAAGAAAAATTGTTTTTAGATAATTTGGATTTCAATGTATGCATGTGAAATTTAAATAATTAAAGTCGCTTCAGTGTTTCACGACTTTTTTAATTGGAAGAGAATGTTCTTTATGCATTGTTTACAAAGAAGTAGATACGAGTATTTTAGAAAAAAAATAGTATCCCATTTGAATAATTTTTTCATTCAGGTGAATTCTTTTGAGAACTGGAAAATAGAATACAAAGCCAGGACTTAATGAGGAAGTAAAACTAGAATTTATTAGAATTATTGTTTTGTAAATACTCAAGTTGCAAAGGAAATGTTTTAGTTAATTTGGGATCAGTTAGTGCAAGCAAAATTTAATTTATTAACGCCATAATACAGCATATTTTATGGTGTTTTACAACCTTTTAATTTACAAGAAAATGTTCACCCATGTTTACAAGGAAGTAAATATTTTCTTGGAAAAGAGCATCACTCGAGAACAGTTTTTCCGTCAAGTTAATTTTAAATTTTAGAGAATTAGAATACAAAACAGAAAAGTAGCTATAGAATGCAGAAAATAAAATTAGAACTAGAATAGAACAGAATTAATGATACATAATTTCTTACGTCTCAAAACAAACTGTTTTCGGTAATTTGGGTTCAATTGACGCATGCAAAATTTAATTTATTTGCATCTGTAAAAAGAGTATATGATTTTACTAAAATTTTCTGCACAACAGAGTGTTTCACGCACGCATTTATTGCAAATTTATAAATATTTTTAAGATAAAATAGCTTGTTCTAGAACAATCTTTTTAGAATATTTTTTGAGATCAGGAGTATCAAATGTTAAACTAGAGTAAGAATATAGAGAAAAGAAGTACGACTAGAGGATAGACTAAAAAACTAGAATGCGATTAGAATAGAACAGAATTAGTATTCCTTAATTTTTTAAGTTCAAAATTTTATTTTGATTAATTTAGGCTTAGTTGATGCAAGGAAAATTTAATTCCATTTACGTCGTTAGGCAGCTTTTATGGTAGTGCTTTACTAAAAATTTCCTTTAGAAGAGAATGTTCTACACATTATTTGAAAATGTTAATGGTTAAACAGCTTCACTTGAGAACAATGGTTTTAGAATATTTCTTGAGCACTAGTATGTAGAAAAGTGTAACTAAAATCCAGAAATGTAGAACTGGAATATAGAATAGAAAAATGGAACTAGAAAATATAATAGAAAAGTAAAACTAGAATTCGAAATTTCTTACGAAACAAAAACTTTTTCTCGATAATTTGAGTTCATTTTGGAGCTAATAAAATTTTTGAGTTATCATAATTTATGTGATTTTTTTCTTAATTTATATAATGACTAGCGTATATAATATTTTTAAACAAGTATCAATAAACATTTTATTTTAAAACATTTTTAAAACATAAACGCTCAAATATTTGAAGGAAAAACTGACTTCTCATAAATACAATAATTAGAATGTTGAAATACATTGATTGTAAAAAACACGCCGTTTTCTTGTGGTAAAAAAAAACTTTTCCTTAAGGGAACGTGTTACTTTCCTTAAGGTTCCATTATATTAATTCAAAATTATTCTTTTTATTAAATCTTGCATATACATAATAGACCTCATTGTTTTCTTAAACTATTGCAAGCAAGGATTTTTTTAACACTGTATGACCGTAAAAAGGCGGAAACGAATTAATATTTCATTCAAATTGAAATACAATTTTTCACCTAAAGTAAATCAGTTTTCTATTAATTTTTTTTTTTAAAATTGACCTTTCTAGCATGCTTTAGTAATCGCACTTTTAATTATTCGGATAATAGTTCATTTAGTTTTATTGTCTCGAAAATTACTCATCTCTCGTCGTCAATAAAGTAGAATAAACAGATAACAAAATGAAAACATTTTTTACTGACACGAATAGCGAAGTGGGGGTACATTATGGAATTCACGTAAAAACCAAGTTATGAATTATATAAATTTTTTTTCGGGCTGTTATATCAATTTTAGAATAATAAATACTGACCCATATCTTACTCTTTGTCAGTATGAAAAGTTTCTCATGCTTACATGATTTCTCCACTCTTCACACTTTTCCTCTTTATGTTACCATAGTTTAGACAAACCTTGCTTTTTCTCCGTAGCAGTACGTTTCAATATATATTTGCCAAAATCATAAAAAAAGGAGACCATAGACTCCTATTCCATTTAGAGACAGTATAGGAAGGGAAACAAATAATAAATATTTTAAGAAACTATGAATTGAAAATTAAAATGGGCTCCATAATGGATTACATAATGAATAATAAAATTAATATTCACCGTAGATAATAAGATTAATATTCAACATTAGTGAATTTATGGAGTGTCCTCAGCTCATGAAAGTATCAAAGTAGTAAGTGAAGAAAAATTAAATTAAGCTTTATCAGTGCATTTCGTATTTCATTAATTTAGTTATATTTTTTTCTTGACCTATGTATTAGTAATACTTCCGCGTTCTGTGGCCATATCTTAACATTGATCTGTATGAAATGACTTTCTCGCCTCATTGTTTCCTTCCGTAAAAGCTGGTTGACCTTCGGTCGCAGACAACAATTAACAAGTCACAATAGAAATAGTTACTTCTAATTACTGGTGATTTTTTTTCTCTTTTGTTTCGCCTCAATTGGTACAGAGGTATAAAAATAAACACAAATAATTTTGTATAATTAATTTAAATTTAGTTTCATATAAGCTGAAATTTTTAAAGAGACGAATGATAACTTTAAAAAGAAAGACGAACATTGGGAAAGAAAATTTTAAAAATTGTCTTTCGAAAGCTGTGTCGTCACATTAAATAACTCTTTTTGGCGATATTCTATTTATATATCGCTTGTGAGATTGCAACAGTTATTTATTACTGTTAGGTCATTTTTTGGGCTATTATTAACCAGTACAATCTATGTAAGTTATAAAAATAGAGCAAAACTTTTGGTGCAAAAACTTTGTCATCTAATTTGTTCATAGATAAAATTTTACCCTATTGTATTATTTTGGCCAATAAATATTTTCTGACTTTAAGAATAAATCGATTCCAATGATTTTTATCTCGATAAAAAGAAATAAGATTGTTATCGTACTAAAGTTCAGATAAAGCAAGATAGTATATATAGTTTCTATTTTATAACCATCGTTGAATAGTCAACCCAATTTTCGGGTTTACGACTACTAATGTTCAACTCCGTAGCCTTGTGATTTTGAACAAAATCCAGAAGACAAGGGAACTCCTGGATTAAGTATTGGGAGAAATTTGCCTTCTTGGACGATTTCCAGAGGAAACTAACCCGCATTTGCGTTACGCGGAGAGGAAAACCACGAAAACCTCACACGGTCAGCCTGATGGCAAGGGGACTCTAACACATGATCCGTCTACCACTGAGGATATTTTTATGTCAGCTTCGTGGTTGGTGCAAGCCGGGCACAGAATTCGTATCGACCTGCCATCGCTGGGATTCGGACTCGGTTCACCTCATTGAAAGGCGAACACTCTATCTCCTGAGCCACCATGGCTCAGTATATATAGTTAAAAGTTATAGCTCTGCTAATAAAGTCTAAGGCATCAAAATTGTGGCCTTTTCTTATTTTTCTTGGATGAATAGTTTCAATAAACGCTTGCAAATATTTTATTAAAAGGATGATTAACTTTCGCCCGACAAAATAATGATCATTGTGGACTTAGCTTCAATTTTCTATTCAGATTTTCTTACAAAATTTGCTTAAAAGTTGACTTTTCCGTGTATGAGTTAGCAACCGTATATTTTATAAATGCAAGCCCAAAAATATTTTAAAATTTATAGCTTTGTTTTTAGGAATGGGAAAATATTTTTATTTCTGTTTATCTATTCTTTTTTATTCTTTACTCTTCTTCATAATGATATTTCCAGGAAAAATAATCAACATGGTTGCTAACATATAATGAAGAAAATCAAAAAAAAAATTTTTTTTTGAGAAAGCATGAATAAAAAAAATTACCCAATTTTATTGATAAAATTCCGTTTAAGTTTTTTTTTGTGGAAAATATTTCATATAATAGCGTAATGAATACGTATGATTAATTTCAGATGCATTGAAATAATAGTTTTTGAGAAAATGTTTTTTTTTTTCTGATGGAATTTTCAGTTTTTTTGAAAACGCCACCAAAAGGAGTAGGTATAATTACTGAAGAAGTTGGTACAATGATTTTCTTAAAAAATTTCGAAAATACTTTTCTTGCAGATAAATATAAATTAAAAATGCTTCAGAATACTGAAAATGTGATTTTTCTTTTATGAATTTAAATATTCAACTTTTGGTCTGTCTGTAAACATAAAGTGGAGTCCTAATAACAAATATAGCCATCCGATATTTTAAAATTTAATTTTATATATTATTTTATTGAACTTTTTTTCTTTTGATTTTTTTGCAGTCAATATATTTATTAAAAAAGTTATACAATTAAAAAAATGTTTTTTTTTTAAATGTTGAAATTTATTGATTCAAAATGAAATTAAAAAAAAGCTGTGACCTACAATTTAACATAAATTAAAACGCAGAAGCTAAATGCTAGTGGTTGTATTAAGTCTAATACAAAAAAGCCTGCTACAAAGCTGTTTTTCATTGTTGTAATAAAGGATAAAGGATGAAATGTTGCCGATTGATTTTGAAATAATTGTGGAGAAATTTCTGTTTATGCAATTGTTATATAGGCCCCTAAAATAAATATGCACGAAAAAAAGGAGATATATTTGTATGTATCTGGAAGACTAATTTTGTTAAAACTACTTTAATGTAAGATTCTGTTCTGGAAGAAGAGTTTAAAGCGTTGTAAGGCACCTTCTGTTTATTTAATTTTTTTGTAGGCACCAAAAATAAATATGCACCAAAACAAAGAAGACGTCTCTGGAAAATTAATTTTGTAATAATCGCTTGAATGCATGCTTTAATTGTTGAGGAAAGTTATAATTTTCAAAATACTTTAAAACGTTGCACTTTTATTTTTTCGCAGCTCAATTAATTTGAAAATAAAATTCACATCCCCCCCCCGAATAACATCCCTCTGAAGAAAACTAAGGTTAAATAGTAAAGTCATAAACAGATGTGAACAAAAAATAGATTGCATTTTAAAAGAGATCTATCCTATTTTTTATTTAAGTGTAAAATACTTTTTTTAATAATTATTTTAAACTAATTATATAATTTTTAATATAACTATTAATAACTAATGATAAAAATTTAACAATTTATGATTATTATTATAATCATAAATTTTAAGAATCATTATTTTTTTAATTATTAACCATAAAAAACCATAAATTATAAAAATCATTATTTTTATAATTATTAATCTTAAAAAAATTTAAATTATACAAATTATTTTTTTATAATTATGAATCATAAAAAATTATTATATTTTTATAAAAAATTGTTATAAGTTCATATAAAAATATTTTGTTACAGAAGAAAAAGATATTCAAAACTTACCTTACGGATTGCATTTTAAGGGAGATCTATCCTATTTTTATTTAAGTGTAAAATACTTTTTTTAATAATTATTATAAATTTATTATAAAATTATTAATATAATTATTAATAATTAATGATTAACAATTTAACAATTTATGATTATTACAATAATCATAATTTTAAAAAATCATTTTTATAATTATTAACCATAAAAAACCATAAATTAAAAAAATCTTTATTTTTATAATTATTAATCATAAATTATAAAAATCATTATTTTTCTAATTATTAATCATAAAATATTATTATGTATTCATACACTATTATTATATGTTTATATAAAAATATTTTGTTATTGAAGAAAAAGATATTCTAAACTTACCGTTCAGAATTGCTGTTAATTAAGCGTGTGTTTTAAAGCATGTTATTGAGAGCGTTGAGACAGAAACTTTCCGAATGTTTTTTTGTGTACATTTCATTGAAGGTAGACAGGAATGAGCAGTCGCTCAGCTGGAGACGCGGACTTCGAAACGACGGGTTATAATATACCTTTGATGAAATCGAGGTCATGAAAGATAGATTCCTTTGATTAGCTTCATTATTTTCTCTATGATCTCTATTTATGCAACACAAGAAAGTGTTCTCTATTAATGGGCACACAGGAAATCTGAAAGTTACGTGTATACACACAAAAAAAATATTTTTACAGTAGTAAAAAGTAATTTTTTTTTAATTTTGAGGTGAAATAAAATACAGAGCATAGGACCAATCAACGTGAAAAAGAAACATCACAAGGAAATGTCATAGGTTAACCATAGTAGAAAAAGGGTAATGGTATTGATATTAAAAAAAGGCATATAATCACAGATAATCTTGTAATTTAGTTATTTTCACGATTTGGAAATCAAAGTCTGAGTAAGTTGGATACTTAAAATTATAATAAAAACTAATATACTTTTTGGAATAGTTTCAAACACAACTTTTATGCGTTGTTTAAAAAATATTACAATATAAATAGTTACCAAGCACTTGTTAAATAAACGCAACAGAACGCAACGTCAACAATAATTAGAAAATTAAACATTTTTTGCAATGGCGTTAAGCCAAGATTCTTCTTGATATGGGATTAAAATGATATGACTAACATTCAAGCACACAAAATGATATTCTAGAACAAAATAAGTGATATATTTTCTAGTATGACATAACAAGATAAAAAGTACCTATAGATATTTAAAACCTTATTTTAACATAATTAAAAATATAACCTTTTTCCTCTCCTGACAATATGTATATGGTTTACAATTTATAAAATACAAGAAAACTATTTTTGTGCATGCTCCAGCAATGTTTATGAAAATAAAGCATAATATAATACTGACAGAATCAGCTGAATTTAGTCAAAGCACGGTGACATTTTCTGTTTTCAAAAAGTTGAAAGCAAAATCTTAGTGTCACTACACGAAATTCACTTTCACATTCGCCAAGATTTTCGTTCTTAACTTTGTCGAATCAGAGTAGCATTCGAATTTTAAATGCGATGTTTTGACAGTCGATTTGGGAGGAGGAAGGCACTCGGAATATAATCTGAAGATTGGTAGTTGAAAAAAGAGATATTTTCAAATAAGTAAGCTTTTCGAAATTTTAAAATCCCAGAAGAATTGAGATAAGAAATTGGTTTGTGAACAAATGAGAAACGTTTGAGAATTTGAAAGAGGTTTTCATTATTTTCGACAGTGCATGTGTGAAAATGAAAAGGAAATGAATTACTGAAGCTTTTGTCTCAAGACTTTGAATACAGTCTGACTCTAATAAATTTCTGTTGAATTAGAGAGAGTTGCCAGTTAAGTTATGCGATGGGTCACATCATATTACAAATTAAAAAAAATAATAAAAAATTGGAGAT